AGCGAATTTTTCGCTTGTCATCGCAAAAGCAAAAGGTTCCCTATCATCTGTACAATAATATTTAAACTGCCCTTGTTCACGGAAATCTATGGTCATCGATTGCTCATCACTTCTCAGTTGTAGCGAAAATAGCTGTTGCACTTGCTATAAAAAAGCTTAATTCCATTGGCAGGAGGTTAACAAAGGAAATCTGCTTACCTCCATCATCGCTATGTGGGATTTCGGTCCGTTTATCGTAATTGTTGTGTTGGTTTGTAACAACGCATTGACGCAGAAACAAAACAATGTCGAAGACCCCTGACGGTCCGTTCTCTAACTACGCTTCCTTCATGATTCTCAACAAAGTATATAATCAATTTCTATTTTGCTGCAAGGCGATCTTTATATCTATTGTTTTGTGTGTGTTTGTGTAATGTTTACTAGTGTAATGTAAATTTTGTAGCTTTTGGCAAGTTTCTGGCGCTGCAAGCATAGATTTTTGTATTCGTCAACTGTTCCACAACCTGACTGCTGCTAAATCGAACCCATCTTTGTTTTATTTAGAATTGTAGAGCGTTTACATTGTTCCTATTTGGCAATATTGATATAAATAACGTTCCTTAATCACTTTGCTTACAGATTAACTAGCTTGTTTTGCCAGAATATGAAGAAAAACAAATACAAGTTGTACAGCATGAAGAGACATTGCCCCCGATTATGATCCCTGGCGCGACCGGGTCCATGGTTTCCCGATCAAGTGAAGCAGTCTTTGTGGAGTTAAACATAATTATAATCATACCCAAGAATAGAAAAAACACTTCTGACCACAAAATAGAATAACAGCTTGTTCAAACGTTACCTTAAACATACATGAATGCTTTCGTCCAAAGTGTTACCTAATTTCAGCAAAACTTAGAAACAGAAAGATCCAAACCGCTGGGTTTCAAACGAACTTCTATGTGCATCAAAAAAATATCATGCAAACGTGAAAGAAATGTCTGAAAAAAATCACTTTCCCAACACTTGTTGTACGTCAAACTATATTTGTTCTAGCTGTATCAGGATTTAAACTTACGTAACGTATTGCAAGGAAGGAAATGCATATGAAGGGGGTTGGAATGTATTTTGTATCAATATCACCATTCCTTCCGACACGCAAACCTTCGCGCCGGTGTTCGACCGAACCGATTGTAAGATATGTTCAATGAAAACAAGACTCGCCCAGGAGTACTTAATTCCAATAAGATTTAATTTTTGATGAGGCCGACCCAGCGCATTATGAATGTTTGAAATCAGTCAATTCAATCTCGATTGTGCGATTAAGGCGGCAAAAAAAAAAACGTTTTGGAATTTTATTCCTCTCAGTTATGAAGGAGAAATATGTCTTATATGACCACATGGCAATGGCTAAAACGCACTGAGGTCATGCATTTAAGACGATATGAAAAGAAATAGCGAAATTCACTCAGTAAATTCTGCAAAAAAACAAAATAGCAGAACTGCAAGTATATTGAAAGATTTGTTCAGCTGCATGCCAGCGTGATGTTTTTTTTTTTAATATCAAATGGTTGCTACTTTTTTTATTTTAATTATGGAACTGTGCTCTCTCTAGAAAGATTGTATGGGAAACCTTTGCCTGTCGCCTCTGTGTAACATTATTTGTTTACGTCTGTCGCTACGGAAATCTCTTGTGGAGAGCGTGTTTGATGTATTCAACCATCAATATTTCATGTGCAAGGTGGTCCTAATTATCATTGTTACATGGACATGTTCGGGGGTTTGTCTTACAGGTGGAGATCTCATTTGGTGGGCAGTCTTATTCTTTTGAAAGTCTACTATCACCTATTTAAGTCTTGGATAATCTTTTGATAAAGTTGAAAGCTTTTGATAAAGTTGATACGAGACCTTTTATCAGGAAACGTGACAGAGGGCAGAACTCTCTGGCATACCTTCCATGGACTGGAAGTCTGTTTGTTTGTGTAATGTATAGCTACAATCGTTTGTATCATTCATCGTCAATTGCTTCCGATGTCGTCTAGAAATAAAGTTTGTCATGCAGCAGTTCGAAACAATCGGAAACATCTGGTTGAAAGAAGAAATATCATTTGTATTTCGCTAACAGGCACGTTCCCGCTTCTTAAAATAGCGAGAGGCTATTAACACAGATCATCTACACAAATGGTTAGGTTTCAATTTTAATCGTAAAGACATGCAGCTAATTAAAAACCAAATAGGAGCACATGCTATCAATAAATCCGCCATGAATCAGCAAAGTCCACACGAGTCTTGATCATTCTTGAAAATAAAAGGTTAGAAAATGGGACAATTGCGACTTCAGCTCGTTGCTTTATTTACATTTTTACAGGCCAATTTTCCGCTGAAAATGCCTGGAATGTTGAGCTTTCCTCAGAAAACAAAGCGGAAAAAAATAGCGCCAGTGTAGAATCAATAAAAGGATTCTTAAGAGATCATTCCCGTCTGGGACCGATCCTTCTCGACTCTAAAGCTAAAAACGTCTTTATTTGATTTTTTAATCCCCTTGTCCTCTGTTCTGAAAAAATTTTCATTGTAGAACTAATAGTCTTACAGTTTTTTTTCCATTGGCGGAACTTCTGTCGAAATCTTGCCTAATGAAAGGGAACCGTCTTTGTAATTTAGAGAAAGTACTGAGGTCAGACCGCATTACGTTAAAATTCAAGCAAACTAAAAATAGGAACAAACAAACAACTAAGTACAGTGAAAGAAAAGTGAAGTTCTTATGGCCAAAAGTGCTAAAGCCTGAACATTTCCGCTTTATTAGTCTTTACAAATCTTAAGTATTTACTAAAAACAAATTGACTGGAACTCTGTCGTTATTGAATACAAGACTGAAAACATATGTTGACAAACTGCAAGCTTCCTTTACCTTCAACCGTCATCGGTTTCGAAGGTCAGAAGAGACCTCTGACTATTGGCCTTTTTTGTGTGCAATGATCACAGTCGATTCGTAAAAGGACCTCAGTGACTATGGATATTTTTGAAATTCCTGCGTGTGTTGTGGCGCGACAGTATGTCAATAGTTTCGAACCGCAAAGGAAAAGATCACAATGTTTCAATTACAAATATGTTATCGCAGACGGGCGTGGAGCCTGTATGAAGTGTCCGATAAAGACTGTAGCCGTTGTTTTTACCCTACACGTTAGAGGGGTTACAGGTGATGGAATTCCAATTGAAAACACGGCATGGCTTGTTACCTGATTCAATTTTGTTCAATTGACAAAATAAGACATCTGTCCGAACACTATTACAAAGACGACACGAATCCTAAAAGGCCTTTCAAATTAATTAATCCGAATTCCCGACTATCCCCTGCTGTTCAGAGATCCTTAGATTGAATGCCACACCTTGGCCAGCGATTTCATGCCACGGATTGAAGTGTTCTATTTGGAATAATGTTTATCGTTAATAACAAAAAAAAAACAAAAAACAAAAAAAAGGAAAAAAAGAAAAAGAAAAGAAAAGGAAAGGAAAGTCATGTGTGCATGCGTACAGTTGGGTTATTGTGTTGTTTGGCCGAGTCCCAGGTTCAATTTTAAGGCATTTCTACATGTATATTTTCAAAGCGACTTTAAAGTTTCAAACCGCGGTTGGCTATAATTTCATAATGCTTTGTAATAGGATAATAATAATAAGACAAGCTAAGAATGCTGTCCTTCCTCTCTTCGAAATTTCACTTGGTAAGGTTCGCCAGGAAATTCCCCTTTCTTAGAATTAAACTTCTAGTGTTTATGGCTTCACTTTATAACAAAAAATCAGGGGGTGATTGATTGGTGAGAGGTATAATGGTTGTTATAAAGGAAACAAAATATAACATCGCTAATCGCCATATGGTGTGCTTTAGTTTCGTGAATTTAATCAATGTTTTGCCTTTCAAATCACTCAAAACGAAATCTTAAGACCTTGATAGATTTTTTAAAACTTATTGTAACGTCATTTTACAAGATGAAACGAAGACAGTGAAAATTGGAAGAAATAAGAAAAATTAGAAGACTTGATGGAAAGTTAAGCCTATCCGTAAGGTAGGATTTAATAAGAGTCCCGCCAAATGATATTCACAGGGTAAAATTATGACACAGGGAAACATTTGTGATTTTATGGCCAAGTTAACTGCTATTTACAGTTTTAATTTTAGCTAAAACGGTGTACTGAGCTATTGCAATAAACAAAACATGATAAGATTCTTGGTCTGAACAACTTCCTTACTTGATATTAGGAAAAGAAAGTTTGAAATTAACCATATATCATTTCGACAGCGCCACGCATTTTAGATGAAAATCTATAAAGAAATTAAAAACGGGTTGTTAGGAGCATCATGCATTCCACTTACATTTACAGGCAACTTTTTCTCCTCTCTGAAAAAAAAGCCATAAAAATATTTGTGTTTCCATAGAGTGATCAGTTAATTTGATCAAAATGTAGCAGGTTAGTATAGCCGTAAGTCATTGACAAGTTCTCTGTGAAAAAACTCAACCTTGCATGAGTAACCAACACTGGCAATAAATATTCTCTTTAAATATGTTCTGTAATCTATTTATAAGATTGTTTTGGGATAAAGGTGGGAAGAAGAGCTATATGATAGAAAGGAAAGGCCTTTATTTACCGAATCAGGTTTTAATACTTGACCCGATAAATATCGTTTTCATTGTTAATTTTGTGTGTGGCAAATATTGATGTTGCCCAAGTTTATAGCACTCATAAAGCACCGGATGGCTCCACTTGGGTCTCTCGAAGAAAGTACCAATACTATTTTCCTGCCTTTGTTTAAAATTGACGTAAGCTGTAAAAAAAAGCACTTACAATGTGCCTTTTGGCTGGATTTTTATCCCGAAAAATAATTTAAAACAATATATTTTGATGGCTAATGGATAAAATCGACCGAACCATGTAATTATGTGAAGCATCTAAGCGCATAAGCTTATTGTTATCATTTTATGACAAAACTTTAGTTTATTCTTTGACATCAGGAAACCTGTAAGCCATAGAGGATATCCGCTTATCTTAGAAGTGTCCGTAAAACGTCCTTAAAAGTTAATTACATACACAGTCTCTGATCCTTCAGTGACGCTCATCTATCTTTGAGAAACAGACTGATTTAAAAGGAGTTTAAGGTTTTGAAGAGTATTTTTCAACTCGAGTAACTCCCGTTAGGCGAACTTCGAAAGGCAACACTCTCTGCGGTAAGGGGTGATATTAACTGAGGTACAAATAGTGGGTCTCTCTTCATTTTTAGTGTTTTTGTTTTTGTTACTGCTGTTCATTACGTTGTTGTTATTGGCGTTTTCACTTTACTTTCGATTTTGCTAAAATTTATCTCCTTTTTTTTCGATTTAAACCTGGCTCAACTCAACAAGGTGTGTTTGAACATTGAGATGTTTGAGTAGATTTACCGATTTACGCAGGCTCTCGGTCAATGCGTTTATGAAAACTGCGTAATCCGTAGGGGTGTTTTAATTATTAATACATCTCCTCAAATAGGGGCCCCCTTGAGATTTGATATGCTTTAGCTTTGCATTAACTTTGCCGATACAAGTATACGAATAACATTATTTTACAATTTTTTTGCCGTTGGTTGATCTAAATCAGCACACGGCCTAATGGTATGTGAATATGCAGCTGATCTTCACTCCAAATCCTTCCCCTACATCACGCCTGCATACAAAAGTGCTAGTGGACCAACGATTTGATCGACACCGTGGTCTGTAAACTTATAAAACCATTTGAGACGTCACAGGATTATGAAATATTGATATGTGATTCTTGATTCTGTCTTTTGATCTGTTTTCTCTGTCTGGGAGTTACTTGTCTTATCATATGCATTGTAAATAAGACCAAATACATCAATGATTGAAAAAAGCACCAATTGATACACCACTGATACTGTTGCCAGGCAAGCAGCTCGTTTACTTATGGGCCCTTTATATGTATTCATTTCCTTACAATTAGGTTAGGGTGTAGTTGGTGAAGGGTACTTTATTTTTCTCCCATATGTGTGCGACATGTCTTTATCATGGCTAGGGAGAGTGTCACCCATCAGTTATTACACACTCACCTTTAGCCTCGAGTAGAGAATTGTCTCGTCCATGAATCGCTCAATTTGAAATTTTCTTTTTTTTTCTTTCTTTGTCAGATAAAGATCATATATAAAAAATGATCATGGCAAGGCGAGAGTTCGCGTTTCTTCTTTTGTCCCTGATAGTTCTTGCTATCTGTGAGTTACCCAAACATCCACGCATTTTAAGGAAGAAAGCAGTTGACTTACAGGTATTGTGATTGCAATCTTGAAGGCGTTGTTACTCAGTGCATAAAGAGGTTTCGGCGACTTTTTCGTCTGTTTTGTTTGCGTTTGGTTTCTGGTATCAACGTTTCCTCTGCACGATTGTCCCTCTCCATTATTTGATCGTTGTCAATGATCAGCGAAAATAAAATATAAATGGTTGATCCAGTAAATTATTTAAAATTCAAATATGTATGGATCACAAATAAAGATGATCGCATACAAAAAAATGACTTTGTTAAAAGGAAAGTTTCTCAGTGTGCAAGGCGAATGTTATTTCATACTGACGAGTGCAAGAGATATCTCATAGAACGCAAATATGTGCGATAAAAAGGAGGTCAGTTTCGTAAGAAACTGTGGTGCTGAGTCGGCGGGAGAGTATAACAAGGTAATTTGGTTTTATCAACTGAGTTGATAACGTAAATTAGCCACCGTAAAGGGTTTCAAAGCTGAGGTTTCGAGCGTTAGCCCTTGGTCAGAGCGACTGATGAAGGGCTAACGCTCGAAACGTCAGCTTTGAAACTCTTTACGGTGGCCAATTCATGTTATCAACTCAATTTATGATGCCAAATACGTGCGATATATTGGCAAAATCCTTTTTTACCTGTTTTCTTTGATGTTCATTTTTTCAAATATGCAGCTCACGTTGTTCATGACCAAATTACATACAGTCGGGACGGGAAATTGGCCAATTTTCTTAAGGTTCTAGTGCTCAAAAAACATCAGGCACAAGAAATTACCATGGGCTCGAGTGCTTACATTTTTTGTTTATTCCTTGTTTATTTTCGTTTTTGTTTTTCATTTTTTAATGATTGGTTTTCGAGCGTGTTTATCTTGTGTTTTTGCAATGCTTTGCTGTTTCTTGAATTCATTCGTCGAAGTATCTATTATGCCTAGAATGTCAGGACGGAGATGACATCGGTCAAAAAGTTTCAAGATGCAATTCCAAGTGCGCCACTTGTCTCCAAACTCGAAACACGCTCGGCGGAGGCATCTTCTACCGATAAAGGACGATTTCTGGGTGGATACAAACGATCAGGTCGTCGATGTCTTTCTGGACACGTTTATTTGTGTTTTCCAACTAAAAAAACGGGCAGAAGGCGAGAGTTTGTTTCGCACTAGATGCCTGATCCCACAGACGTTCATTCACAGGTATGCCCTATAGAGAGAACCAAGACAATTTAATGCCTATTTAATATCTTCTCCATGCATTCCTTATTTCAAAGAGTACCCTCTTAAGACTCGAGATGTAACACAGCCTTTGAGATGTAATGTTACATTTACCTGAAGTGATACTTCAATATTTGAGTAACCCAATAGACGGCTTATGATTTGTCACGTGGGTCAAATTTGCAACACAGGATCGGTCATATTGGCTGAGTCCTCGTACTAGTTCTTCAAGCTTGATGCTCTCTTGAGAGATGATATGTTTACTTCAGTGGTCACATTGAAGATTGGTGGTGAGAAATATGTTGGGATGGTGGGAGAAGACGAGACAAGTTTGTAAACCATTCCTCTTCGACTCGTGATCATGACTTAAAAACGTTTCTCGTGTAGTCTCAACGTCCCGCGTGGGTTGTTACGTCGGTGAACCGATGGAAAGTGCGCTCTGTTGTTTAAACGGTGGAGGAAGAATTTCGGACTTTTCATCTTTTAAAAGACAAGTGATTCAATATGTGGGTAATAATGTAATAGTACTTGAGAACGCTTCCGTAAATTGAATCCTTTTTGTTTCTAACAGATTTGCACTTGAAGGAAATACCTAACTTTCAAACAGCAGAGCCAGTACAGTAACTAAACAAGAGGCTTTGATTGTATTTATGACTGTAAACAGACAGGTTAATAAAGAAAGAAAAAGAACGTTCTCTCTGAGTGCTAATCTGTCCTTGGATTCGGTGATGAATAAAAAAAAATATACAATACACACGAAATAACAAGTATTTTAGACTTCTTTTTCACAGTTCTTGTAACTCGGAGTAAAGATCTCTTCCAGAAGACCATGACACTCTGCTAAACTGAACTGTTGTAACTTTAATTTCATCACAACTCTGAATCACATGTCTCGCGTCGAAACTTCCATAAAATTAGGACTCACATGTAAGACGATCGCGTGGTACGACCAAAAAAAGCATGCAATAAAAAAAAAAAAAAAAAAAAAAAGGAAAATTAGCTTCTTTACGCCGAGGTTTGACCTTAAACACACAAATAAGACACAAAGCTCGCTTGTGACACGTGACTCCTGTTCTGAAAGAAATTGGTGCCTAATGCACGAGAACGCACGGGGGAGGGAGGGATGGGAGGATTCCTCATTTGTCCCTCACGCCGCACCGGCATCGATAGATGACCAGCTAGATGTTTACCTCGAATATAACTATCATTTTTATCCTTACTTTTTCCCTTTTGTTACCATGGAAATCCCTTTTGAAATATTACCACTGAGAACATCCTACTTCAAATTCGCTCTGATGAAGGGCTAACGCTCGAAACGTCAGCTTTGAAACTCTTCATGGTAGCAAATTTACGTTATCAACTCAGTTGATAAAACCAAATTACCTTGTTATACTCTCCCACCGACGCAGCACCACAGTTTCTGAAGAAACTTTCCTGCCCCCCCTCCCCCACCCACTTCAGTGTGGATTGACTCCAATTAGTGATAATGATTTTCCACCGCCGACGGTCTGTCTCTACATAGTCAAATTATATTTCAATATATTTTAACTCAGGCGTTCTAACTATTCAACAAGAGGCTACACGCAGCCTATATTCTGGCCGATTTGCGGTTCAAAGGGAACGAAATGAAGGCCTTGCGGTTCTTAGCAAAATTGCTGTCGAGTGCTTTTCAATGTTTAATTAATATAGAGATTTATGGAGATTAAGAATTTGGAACAAGTCGATGCCATGTCAAATTGGAAATACTAAAACTGCTAAATGAAATGCAGGGACCAACGCAAAGTCAACAGAAAAGGAATAAGTCACTTTGTGTCTTAGATTGAGTGTCGGAGAAATCCGGAATGATGGTAACCATCCAACTCCGCAGAATAATAAACGCATACCTCGAGCGTTTATAAAACCAGACCTGAATAGAATCCTGCGTTTATCAAATTCCCGGTCGCAAAATTCATCAAATTTTAACGCTGCGATTCAAATCTTTTTCTGCCTACAGAAGCACAAATTCTCCTATTTCCATATATGTTATAAATGTTTTTTCATTCGTATTTAACAAGTTAACCTTACTATCACAAATTTCAAATTAATGCTGGAGTATCCACCTGCTTGAGTAAATTGTCAGTTCCTTTCTTCTCAAGTAGTTACGTAAATACAAAGGCTACTTTGTTGACTCAAAAACAAGCTATATTGACATTATGCTGAAAACACTGCGATTACGCAAGTCTTTTATTAAATATGCTTTCTCTCTGCACGATCATGACCACATTTCCATGTTACAAATGTTAAAAACTAAAATTGGAAAAGTCTTGCATGAAAAATAAAAAGCATAATGTTACAATTTCCAGAAAAAAAAAACTATCAACTTAAAATATAATAGTTCCATGTTTTTAATATTAAATTTCGTTTGCGTTTGCCGTTCTATGTAAACGCAAAATTTCAAAAATTATTAATAAAGTGCATTTGTCTTTTGAGCTCCTTCCTTATATCTCGTTTGAAGATGGCGTATGATAGCGGGTTAACGGCTGAGTTCACAACTAAGATAGGTAATTTATAACCGGTGTCTTCACATGAGTTGTGACTGTTTAAGATTAAAACGAAACTGCATCGCGCAAATATTATGTAACACAACAGGAACAAAGCTACAACGACCGCCATCATTTTAACTGTCGACTTCCCTTGAGTCTTGATGAAAACTTCATGATTAAAATGTAATTGTTTAGCCAAGATTCGAGCGGCTTGCTTGTGTTTGCAAACGATTCGAAACATAGATACAAAGCAGAAGATTAAAATAAGGCATAAAGGTATTTCAAAACACGCATAAAACCAGCCGCTGATCTTATAAAGCAGAGAGTTATTTAGACTAAAGCGAAGGGATGCGACAAGTGTTATCACCGTTGATGGTATTCCCCAGGCTAAAGCGATCATTTGAATGACTCGACGGCGTTTCATGAAAGGCAGATACTTCAAAGGTTTCGTAACAGCGATGTACCGATCCAACATTAAGCAACATAAATTTGTACCAGATGTATACTGGAAAACCACCCTTATAAACATCACTGCAAAATAACCGATGGAGGTTTTAGGCAGTGCGTCTCTCCCGCTGGCCAGTGTATAGAAGAACTGCAAGGGAATGGCAGTTAACCCCACAAAGAAATCAGCAATTGCCAGGGAAACGATAAAAGCGTTGGTTTCGGTGCGAAGCTGTCGACGTCTGCACACCAAAAGGATGACTAATCCATTCCCTGTCAGAGTCAAGACGGACAAGATCCATCCGAAAATCCAAAACCACACATTTTCCATTTTTTAACTGAGGTATCGAAGTCTTGCATCGGTGGTAGCATAAACACGCATTTATATTTTTTGCTAATTTCTTGTTGTCATTCTGATCACAAGTGAGTTATGTCCAACTTGGAGGAACCAAAAAAGACTGAATGTTTGAATTTTCTTAATTAAATGCTTAAGTGATCTCAATAAACTCTCGTGTATTATTGTTATGCAAAACAGCCTCTATAAAGAGTTGTCGACTCTAAAATTACTCACTATTTATTTGAAAGGGTTACTTGAGATGAATGTACTGAATTGGTATGGTACTGACATCGTAATCCGTGGAGAGAATCTCAATTTCAAACTGCTAATCGAGGGAATATATTCTACGCTAGCACCTGTAGCTTTTAATTTTATCAAGATTGCGTCAAAGGAAAGAAAAAAAGGCCGATAGTAAACGGCATCAGGGAGACATGGGTCGGGTCCCCTGATTACGCGCGACCCAAGGCCCTCTCGTTTTTTCACTCTACCGATACACTGGAACAGGCTAGGTCTGCAGAGTAGTACCATCTCGTATTTCTCATCAACCTTTTTTTGTCGTGCCATGACAAAGTCGTGCCAGAAAAATTCATGCCGGAAAATTAATGTCGCGTGAGAAAATTAAATTCGTGCCAGAATGTTAACTCGTGCCTGAAAGTTAAGGTTGTGCCGGAATGTTGGAGTCGTGCCGGAAAGTTGAGGTCGTGCCGGGAAGTTGAAGTCGTGCCGGAAAGTTGAAGTCGTGCCGGGAAGTTGAAGTCGTGCCGGAAAGTTGAAGTCGTGCCGGGAAGTTGAAGTCGTGCCGGGAAGTTGAAGTCGTGCCGGGAAGTTGAAGTCGTGCTGGAAAGTTGAAGTCGTGCCGGGAAGTTGAAGTCGTGCCGGGAAGTTGAAGTCGTGCCGGGAAGTTGAAGTCGTGCCGGGAAGTTGAAGTCGTGCCGGGAAGTTGAAGTCTTCCTGGAAAGTTAAAGTTGAACCGGAATGTTAAAGTAGTGCCGGAATATTAAAGTTTTGTCGGAATGTTAAATTTGTACCGGAAAGTCGAAGTCGTGCAGGAATTAAAGTCGTGCCGGAATGTTAAAGTTGTTCTGGATCGCTGAAGTCGAGCCGGGAAAAAACTGAGGTGGTGAAAAATAAAGTTGAAGTGGTGAAAAAAAAAAAGTTGATGAGAAATAGGAGATGATAAAAACTGGGCTCCGTGTACTGAGGTCACAGAGCGGAACAACATTCCTTCCCTTGAAGGAATGTTGTTCCTTCTGTTGAGGAGGAATGTTGTTTCTTTAGTTGGAATGTTGTTCCTTTAGTTGAGCTGTTGTGGTTCATTCCAAAAATACCTGATCAGTAGAACGTTTATGCCTCCTTCGCACTCACAGTTGCGTGACATCGTAAAAAGGGGCTGTAGACTCATAACTAATCGAAATGACAACGTGACAACCAAGTGGGTTGAATTGCGAGACTACTTCCGTTTCCGCTCTTCATGATCAGTTGCTACGTTCTACTACGTTTCCCCCGCCCCTCCCCTCCCCCGCCACCCTTTGTTACAACCTTGTGACATTTGGGCACTGATTTAAGTTAAAGATACTATTGTCTTCGCGCACTGCTTAGACGATTCAAGACTGCGAGGGCGGCACTCTTCCTCATCATGAAGAAACAAACCATGATGATTTTAGCGGCAGCTATTTTGCTTTTGTCGATGGCCGTAAAAAAGTCAAGCGGGAATCTTCTTCCATCACTTCAGTTCACACGCGACACATTAATGAGTTTCTCAATGGGCTCAGAGCGTGAGGTAGAAATTCTCACACCGAACAAGACAACGAGACTAATTCCTAATTCTGGCAACACTGGTTTAAAGATTGTGAAAATGTCTAAAGGAGTCCGACCAGTTAAAGGAGCGAAAAAGGTACTCAAGGGAACTTTTTTATCTGTAACGAGTCATAGCATGATTATACCAGCGACTCCAAAACCAGTTACGCAAACGGTGATCACATATCAGAAAAAACGAAAGACGTACAGACCTCGCGCCTCCCCATCGAACAAGTTTCTTGAAGCTATCAACGACATCGAACGCGCTGTGGCTAATGCGAGGGCTTCAGGAGTCCGCCACAACGGTGATACGTTGCCAAAATTAAAAAGACTTATTGTAAGGGCGATTAGGAGCAAAAGTTTCAAGTATGCGCGCGAGGTTCTTGGACATATCATGTTTATTTTAAGCACAAAATCATCACCACCAAGACGCACAAAGCGGGCTTCTCAAAACAGTGCAAATAAAGGTAAAGAATTTCTTCAGGGACTTCGCACTCAGCTTGGAAGGTCGACGTTTGATAGCTTCATGGCTGTTCAAGGAGATGTATCTCTCATGTTTGTCATCGATAACACAGGAAGTATGGGCGATGAAATTCAAGCTACAAAGAATATCGCTATTGATATCATCAATTACCCACGTCAAGCCCCTGTTGAGTACATTCTCTCACCATTCAATGACCCTTACCCAGGTAAGTAAGGCTATCACGCACTGTCACGCAATCTGTGTTAAGTATACTGCCTTTTACATAGGAACGTCTAATTTGGGGGCTGAGGCTGAACTTTCTATATATTTTTTTGCGGTTTGAGCCTAGAAACGGTCCTTACATGTTCTTAAAGTTGTGAGGTTTAATATTTTAATAAATTAATTCGTACGTGACCGAACAAAGTCCAGACCACATTTTTAATGTGAAAAAAGGCCCCTGGTTATTCGAGTTAATAGTCCTCTTAGACCACAGTTTTACATTTCTTTTACCTTTATCTGAACATTCCACCCCCCCCCCCCAAAAAAAGCAAGATTGAAACGTTCTTAACTGACTCCCAGCCTGATTATATCCTCATCATGTTCTTAAAACTTGAGAACAGATGCAAATACAGATGACATTTCTCTCAGTCGGGTATAAAATTCTTCGCTATTGTTGCCAGTGTCTCTAATAAGCGTCCCGAAAAAGATGCCGCTCTGCTTCACACAACTGACAAGAGTATTTCTTTTGATTTTATTTAATAAGACAGTCAATTAGTCCTTTTCTGGCCCGCAGTAAGGGCTTCTTGTTATTTGCCAGCGCGAGTGAGCAGTTCTGACTCCTCGCAATTGTCCTCCGAGCCATTGTATTTGGTTTAGGGCCAGGAGGTGGGGACATACGTACTTTTCCTTCCCCTTCCCTTACCCGTTCCTTTCCTCTCGTCCATTGACAGCCCCCTGGGTGGAATATTTTTCACTCCCAGCCTTCCCCTGCTTAAAAAAATTCAAGATGGTGGTTGGACCCTTCACGCGGAGTCATGTTTTAAACATCGAGTGTTCGCCAGCAATAAAAACACTCCTGCACCACAGGCTAGTCTTTTTCACAACTCAATTAGCGTAATGCAATTTCATTTTCTTTGCAGATGTATCACCAGTGGTTATAATGGACGAAATTGACGCTGGCGAGTTTGTGAAAGCTATAAACAATCTCAGAGCAAATGGGGGAGGTGACTGTCCCGAGTATACCTTTACAGGCATGCTGGAGGCGCTCTATCAAGACCCGCATTGGGGCTCCCCTATGTACGTGTTTACTGATGCTGGTCCGAAAGATGCCACAGATGAAAACATCGAGGAGGTGAAGCTCTTGGTTAGCGCCGAAGAATATGGCGTGACAATCAATTTTTTTACAACCGGTGAGTGCAATGATATTTTAAGCTATTGTTTGGTCTCGTCACGCAATATGCTCTTTGCTTCGAAGAGAGAGTGTCACGGAACAAATAAGTTGTTGTGTGTGGGCTGGCGTAACAACTATGGTTTTATGTGGTTGCATTTTTGCCTGATAAGATCTTTTTCGACAGTCGGGCGTTATCTTTGTTCTTAATCTTTAATATCATTACTGTTATTACTTTCATTATTATCATAACTGTTGTTTGTTGTTTAAGCAATGTTTATTTTTGTCGCGATTATCAAGGTGCTTTTCTTGTTTTATAGCCGTTTCAATTATTTTTTCTGTTATTCTCACTTTTATCAGCGCGAAAGATGTCAATCAGTGTTAATAGACGTTGTACAAAATAAGAACAAACTTGTTTCCCTCTGTTGAGATCAACTACACGCGGATCTACGTAAGCTTCGGCTTGAAGATCACTCATCAAGAAACCTATAGATGATTTTTTTTTCTTAATTTTGAAAACAACGAAAGGCTTGGGGGCAGGGAATGATGGAAGGGTGCGGGGAGGGGATAAGGAGAGGGTGGAGATCCGGCTATCCGCCTCGATACCCGAGGATTAGCCAGGAAAGCGCGTGTCATATTTCTTGCCTATTTCTTGCCTACCTACTCTCCATTAGGATGTAGCTGCAAGGAAAACGATGCGTACGTTATGAGACAATGGTCATCTCGACAGCATTACAGCTAATGTAATATGATTGATTTAAATAAACGATGTCGGTCTTTTCAGGGTACTGCACTTCCCAGGGATACTCACATCAAGACCCGAGGAATCTCCATCCAGCTTTTAGGGAACTAGCAGAATTGACTTCCGGCCAGGCAATTTTGTTGAAAGACCAGTGGGAATTAGAAGAACTGAACGATTTGACCGGGGGAGTACTTGAAGGAACTAATGTTATCAGTGTTGGCTCGAATATGTCGGGAAGAAAGAAACGGAACACTGACGGAGCAGTAAGCAACCGATATAGCATTCCAGTGGACGAGTCTATCGAGAAAATGACCATATCAGTGACTACCACAAAGAGAGATACAAAAGGTGGGAATAATTACCACCAGATATTCGGATCAATGTCAGTATCTGAACAGCTGCGCACCTACCCCTCCCCTGACCCAGCATTAACCCATCAGGTGACTGTTTTGGGGTTAGGGGAGGGGTAGGTGCGCAGCTGCCCAGATACTAATATTTAATCTGGTACTCTAACAACAAGAAGTAGGCTTTGAGAATGACAGGGGCAAACATTTGTCCAGTTTGTCCTTAGTAAGATCGATTTTACCGTGAACTTTCCAATACGCTTAGGAAAAGTAGTATATACTCTCAAGTAATGTTCTGAAACACAACCTTGCTTGAACGATCATAACGCAAGTGCTCTGGTAGAGACTTTTTCGGGAGAGGAGCACAGGTCTTCTTATTAGAGACGAGACTTTAGCCTCTTATCTCCCATGAGTGACCGAGACAGAATTTCTCCTAACTATCTCAATACAATATCAAGCAGACAAGTAACGAGAATAAAGAAAAACATCAACTAGGGGATAATCAGTTGATCCAATACCAAATTCTCTTAACTATCATCATAAGAATTGTATGACAGACAGTAAGGAGAATTACTAAAGAGATCTTAGGGGTGAAAGTGTTAACAGATATAGGGATATTACCGGGTTTCCGGCAGTTGACACTATATAGTTAATGAAACCATCCATGTAACGATCGTTCTCTCATATCTCTCCTCGCAAAGGTCAAGGAATCACTCTAACAGATCCCGACAATATCATTATCACATCTGGAAAACGCAGCCTGTCCCAGATCTCCGTTTACCAGATTGACAACCCCAAAAAGGGAGACTGGACACTAACTGTGTCTGGCAGCAATGGAGGTCACCAATTTTACGTCAAATCGACCAGTGAGACAAACGTCGACTTCGAACATTACTTCATCATTCCATTAAGCCGCAGGCGCCATCAGGAAGTACCTATTTCAAATCCAATAATTGGTGAGTTCGCGTTGTCAATTCCGCTCTTTGAAGACACTACCGGTCATTAGTTATTTCCCGGGGGGGGCGGGAGAAAGGGGGTGTGATTTTTGTGGGGATCACATGGTTTTCAGGGGAACGGAGAGGGGATCGGTCGTCGCCAACACAGTATAAAAGAGGGACAATAGAAAATTGACTGTCAATTAACTGCCCATAAGGAGGGGGGGGGGGGGCTCGTAAGAATGTTATAGAGCCTTAGGGGGATCAAGTAGATTTTACCGTGACACAATCAAAATCCTCCTACTTCGTCCTTCACGCGACCAATGTCAGACATGTACAATGATTTTGTTTGTTTATCTATTTATTATTTTTTTGTCGTGTTTTTTTTCTTCTTAGGTAAACGGAACAAGGTGGTTATAACCGTCGCTGGTTCTGAGAAAGTCATTCCAAGCTCCTTGCGTTTGGACCTTATTACCCCTGAAGGAACAAAGATCAGCGACGTCACACTACAGACAGCTGACAGGGTCCATTTCACCTCAAGTTTCACGCCTCGTGTTAGTCAGCCGTTCAAATTCAAGCTCAGAGGTACCACTCGTGGCGGGAACGCGTTTGAGAGGATTTCACACCAGACGATCAAACCCACGACTGTCGTGCTAAGGGGAAAGTATGCCAGCAATGATTATACTCTCCCTCTAGGAAGAGTCACCTTTGTTCATTTTCAACTGTGTAATTTTGGTGAAAGTGAACATTTTGACGTGACAGTCGTGAAAGACAAGATGGGGTACATGCTCTCTCAGAGTGTCAGGTCAAGGCGGGTAATAAAGGGCCGTTGCACTACACTTTCCGTTCGCGCCAAAGCCACACGTTCTACAGATGTGGACAAAACAGATACCGTGTTTTTAATCGCGAAGGGTCGAAAATCTAAAGTTGTAGCTTCACAAGCGGTGCGTCTGTTCGTTGTTTCTTAAGTTCATCGGAGTCGGGCTTTAGTTTTTTCAGCGCATGAATGAGATAGCAAATGTAAACAGAGAAAACAATCTAGAATAGAAGGATAATGAATAAATAAGTAAGAAAGTTTGGTTATCTGTCTGATTTTCTATCTGCGTTTCTTCATCTCGGATTATCAATTTTCAGTACTACGCTTGTAACTATTATATTTTAATCAAAAATCAAATAATTTTTTCCTCATTACGATTTATGTTACCGTAAGAATGTTTTTCACTGGCCGAGTCGGTTGGTGATTGAATAAAACATAAGACGAACATACACGAAAGCGCAAAACGAAACCAAACTGCCTTTCTCGAGTTCCCCACCCTCTTTCATCCAGAAGAAAGATCAGCTGGGATCGTCGTATTAATCAAAGACCTAAAGACTGTCTTGCTAACCGGTTGTCCAGGAAAAAGGCATTTATGATTCAATCCAATTCTTCCTTCTTATGTAGAAATTATCCATCCACCTAAGAGCACTAAGACTGTGCTCTCCGAGTTCTTTACTTTTGCACATATATGTTTTTTTTTTGTTGTTTCTCAAAAGCAAATTGAAATCAACAAAATTCTGCATAGCAAGTGCAAAACTCATATTCTGCCCATTAATTAGCCTTTTTGTTTGGCGACGTCTTTGCACGTTGTCGGCCCAAAGATAGCAAGGACCTTAAGCAAATCACGACAGCGACGGCAACGAGGACATAGAAAAACAAAAGATCTAATTGGTAGAACAATAGCTCAGCACGTGCGTTTTAAAACTTTGTACATTTCTTAGCCGTCCCAGGCAAAACAACAACGTGAAATCACCACAATTTGCGTCGTCTGCAGACCGAAACCGCGACGGCAAATTATTTTAATTTCCATTTGGAATTCAACGCTTCTTTTATACGCGATGCTGAAGTTGAGGTGTGGCGCCGTATGAGACGGTAAACACATGCAGCCATTTTTGAAATTCTAATTAAAGGCAGAAATTCATTTTTTAATCGATGCCGTCCTGACTGCTTAAGGTCCCTGTTATCTTGTACAGAGCTCGCACACCGACAACGAAAGGTAAATTTTTTTTTTTGGACATATACCAACTTTCCATCATTGGTGGAAGCAAAGACAGGCTGCAGACCTATTCAAATACTGACTCACCTTACGAAGCCCGATACGACGTTGTTATCCTGAACAACGGTACTTTGGTCATACTAGAAAATGTCACGCTAAGTTTTCCTCCAAGGTCAGTGACTCCCACGATCTCATAAGTAATTTTCCTTGTTGTCTGCCGTGTAGTTCTTGTGATATTAGTTTGGAGAATTTTGTATGGGATCAACTAAAAATCCCCAGTAATATTTTTTTTTACTCTCATCACTTGTCTGCTTGTATTGATATTGTAAGGAAAAATTCTGTCTTGGGAAAGCCATACCAAGAGGTATGGAAGAGGTATTCGGTTTGGCTGAGGGCGCTGGTCCTTGGGAGGGTAGAGTTGAGTTTCTTTGTTGCGTATACTGCTGTTTATGATTCCTATCTTTGATGATCAAATTATCCCTTGACAACTTTTTTTTAAATACTACAGAAAATTAAGAAGAGATTTCTTTTATGGGTTGATTAGATTTGATTATCATTGCCTACACATTCAGAATTAGAGAGCTCAAAGTTTACCCAGCCCTATTTTAAGTTTTAAAATACTGAAGACTTTATGCCGAAAGAGCTAAATGTTTAAGACGGATGAGAGGAATGGTATCCAAAATGAAACTCCTTACGATGGAAATTCCATTTCCATTCTTCTAAGAATTTCACTTTCAGGAAGTGCTACGCTGCACATCAAATAGTCGATGCATTTACACCTCTATGGCAAAATTTTGTCCAAAGAAGCACGTTGGAAAGCCAATAGCCAATAGTCCTCATCAATTTGTGTAAGTCATTTACTATTCTATAATTTGTTGAAGAAAGTTTGAATTGGTAAACGATAATTCCACGAACTAAATCCACTTAGTAGCTGGAGTGAACTTGCATATTTCCTTGAAAACGTTCGTTTGAGCCTAAGGTACGTGTACAGGAAGTTTTGATTTCTTAACATGTTGATGTCCGCTTTCTTAGGACAAGAAATCGAAAGCAAAAAAGCTTTTTTGCTTAATTATGTAACGAACTTGATTTATAACATGCTAAAATTATAAAATTCTTTTAAAGCATTCAAGTATATTTTTGTGGCTGTTGGGTGTTATGTTACCTTTACGAGTCCTTTCCACGATAGTGCTAACATCATTTACTCTATCCTCTACATATGAACAACTGGTGATTCCTGGTTATCTGGACAACGACCTAAGTACTTCTACTTAAAAAAAGGGTAAGTTTCATAATTATACTTCTTTTGAAAAGTTATACCTTCAATTTCTTAGAATTCTTTAGCGACACACTGGGAATAGACATGTCTCCTTTGAAACAACAACTAGCCTGTTCCAGGCCTTTAGTCAGTAAAACGGAACGGGATGATAAACAGTAGCGGAAGTGTGGAAAAAAGAGAGAGGTCTGTAATGCCCGACTCAACCCCCCCCCCCCCACACACACACACACACACACACACACACACACACACAAAATGATGTGTACTGCTTTTGCGCAGTGATGAAAGAAAAAGATACAAATGAAGATGGTAAATTTTAAGCCTCTATGATGCTGTCAGGGAACAAACTAGTTACAAACAACAATTCCACCATGTTAAAAAAGGCGTTTATTCAAAGCAGGGAATTCTTACATCATCATCGTTAACAATCACATCAGCTACAAACATATACTAGTAATGACACTATACACTTTGTACTTCTTGCAGTCTTCCCTCTTAATAATATCTTTGAGAAGCCAGCTTTTGATTGCAAAATAATTGGAATCAGGAAACAGCTGCACAGCCTTTCTTAGTTGAATCCGAAAATCTTTGGCAGAAGTAAGGCGAATAACAGAGCTCCGAGGCTCAAAGTAGGTCCCAATACTGCGCTGGATGGCTTAGAGGGCGGCTCAGTGGGTCCTACTCTGTTACACAGGTCACCTTGGCAGCATTCAATACTACAGTCTTTCCCTTGAGCCTTGTACATTTTACAAGCTGTAGATTAAAAACAATTTCAATGTATATATTCGAAAATAACGTTTTACGGGAACGAAATAGCTGTTTCAGCGGTTTTTTGTCGTCATAAAACACGTAGGGCCGATTACTTGAACAAGGTGTAGCAACATTTAGCCATTGTTCAACAAAACCACGGTTTAGACTATCTTGAATCAGCTGAATAATTTATCTGAACATTCAGTTTTGTGAACTGTGTCTAGGGAAATTTAGTAAATTAAAACAACCTTCTTATAGAAAATACGTAAGCGCCAGTGTTTGCGTAAAACTGCGATTTGGGTTTGACATCGAGTAAATAACCGTCCCGTAAGGCTTTTATCAACCCAGCGGTCACACGTTTGCGCATGTGCAAACGTTGTCATGACTTGGTTGGTGGAGTGCTTTCAGGGTGTCAGAACACGTGTCTCACACGAGTTACAAGCAACCACTCGAGCCAGTAAGTCACGGTGTTTTAATTAGAAGCGTATAACATTTTCGGCAAGCTCAAAACAGAATGGTGATTTAACGGGATACTCGTTATTTCATAAGCTTCGAATTCAAAATGTGTCGAGTTTTTCTGTTCCTTAATTTGTCCCTTTCAAAGATTTCTGTGGACGTTTCAATTTTTTTTCGCACAGTATGAGTAACTGCGGTTGGTTTCATGTTTTCCTTTGAAATTTTGCGCGGTAGATGCGCGCGCGGTCAAATTTGAGTTGGTTTTCTTCACACAGTTAAGAGTTAAGGCCTCTTGATACAACGTATCAAGAGGTATGTTGGTAATACTATATACAGAAATAGTTCTGCCATTGTGATCCATATAGATGTAAGAGTTGGGTTTAAGCAGAATTGCAGATTGTTTACAATGTAACTAGTGATATAGCTAAACTGCACTATTTTACTTACGATTAAAATTCGACTGTGCATCACAGACCAGGCTGGAAGAACAGTTCCTCATCTCGACTGTTACGTCTGGGGTCATACTAATCTTCACTGTAACACATCGGTCATAAATCGGAGGGCAAGTTACTTTTTTCACATTGCCGGCACTGCAGCTAGTTCCTCCACTAACCTGCACAGGACTCGAACAATCGTAACACTGAAGCGACAAAGCTGTTGGTTAAAGAAAAATATCACAGTTACGAAAGTTTGTCAAGACTTGAAGGACACATCCTTTCACAGGCCAAACAAACGCGCACGGTGTTCGAACGGAAGTGACCATTGACTACCTAGGTGATTTTGTAGCTAGAAATTTGGTAGCGCTGCATAATGAATCTCGACACTTTTTTTTACCGTTCACATGCAAAAGGGTATCATAACCTTAGGAAATTTTACTATTGATAGAATAGCTCAGCCGAAGTCTAAAACTGATTTCCGAACACAAATATGCACTTTTCTCGAATTAAAGAAGCTGAGCCTTTCGTGTATTTATTACTCGACCAAGACTGCTTCAAATTCTTATCCTGCGCTTTCTATGACTTGGTATGACAAATTTTTCATTGCCTGTATCTGTATTGATCATGCCTCTCGACCAATGAGTGCAGGAGAATTTCAAAAGTTAGTATCAAGATATATATAAGATTTCCGGAGGTAAAACTTTGCGCACGTACGTTTGTGCTTGCGTGTGTACCTGGTTGCTACACTGTTTTAGCGGCACAGATTATGACTTGGCAATTTAAAGAGTACTTAATTGTCTAACTTTTAACCAGGAGCTATCACTGGGAACTGCAAATGTATTTCTCTAAGACATGGCCCGCATGTGGAAACACGAGTTTATTTTCCGATTTGATCTCACTCTGCTTTTTCCAGAATGACGTTTAATTCCTAATTATCTGCCGCATTGAAGCCAAGGAAGATTAAGTGAAGAAAGAAAAATGAAAATATATCTAAAGGATAAATGGATGATATGAAATCTCCAAGCGTTCATTTACCTTATCAGTGATGCTTACATTTGTCCCGAGGACAAAGTCTAATTCTCGCGATTTTGGAGGTAGGACTTTAGCCACGTCACTTTGTTGGTGAGAAATCTTTTCATCTTTTCATATCTGGGAGGAACGAGTTCAAATTCCGTGAAAGCCTGAATTTTTAATTTTTTTTTCTGCAATTGTTTAGATTACAGCACACCTGCTAGGATTATAGCTTTTCTTGTGTTTACTTGATTACAACAAAATATACGAGAGTTTACGTCAAAAGCAATTGAGAATCGTCTGCACCAGCCGAACTAAAATTTGTCTAGGAACAATTCAGAAATGAGCGCAGCAGTTTTCCTCTTGAAACTAAAGCGGGAGCACATTAACTCAAGTTTGCGCAAATGAAAATTGAAAATCTAACTTACCGGCTGGTATGATGAAAAGAACCAGGAAAGTGCCAGAGATGAAGAGAAATGCAGTAGCCATGATTCGAGCACGAGATTTGTAGCAGATCTCTCTATATGAAACTTGGGAATGTTCTCAAAACTACTTCTAGTAGCCAGTGTATCAGCTGGATGAAGTTACGCTATTTAAAACTCATTGGACAGACCACGTGACTGAAATTGTTGTCGTCACGATCATTACTGAGGGATTGAAACTAAAGCGTGCTGCCGATGCCGTCATCACTGACCTTTACAGGTTAAATGATTTTTTTTTGTTGTTTTTACGTGATGAGGAAAATGTCTTCAGCATAATGTATTGCAACATCAGCATCGTTTCCTTTAGGACAGGAAAAAAGAAGAGTCAATCGGAAATTACTAAATTGATATGGAAAAATACGGCCTAGGATGAGAAAGATTAAAAGGGAATTGTAGTTTATGATTAGAAGATAATAACGAGACCGAAAAACAAAATATGGCCAAGAATTGCAATCAAACCTGTATTAAGTGGTCACCCATGGGGAAGACCGCTTCATACAGATTCCACAGAATGGGGTTTAAAATCGATGAAAAATCGCCATTTTATGCCATAATTGATCATTAAATGATTATAAAATTTGTTTCAAAAAACTTGCTCAAAAATGCAAATTTATTAAACAACATCAACAAAGTGGTGGCACAGCGTAAAAAAAGTAATATATTATCTAATAGCTGGACATTTTGGTCATAAAACACCAAGAGATTCTCGTGATGTTCACGCGTGATATTAGCCCTATCAGCCCTATGAAGAAAAAAACCAATTGTGATGCGTTGAGAAATTTAAAGTCGAAGTACTTTTATTGATTTCGGGAGATAAACGCGGAAGAAAATTCATTTGTAACTCATGGAAGGAATTTTATAGTACTTAAAAGATTATTCCTAGTTTGATCTAAATGGTTCCGCATGTGAACGTGAAGACAATAAGCACAGGCCGTTAGGTCTCAGTCAAGGGCGAGTGACGACCGCTTAACAGAAGTGACCGATTGCTGGAGATGAAACCTAGAGTTGTAGGCGAAAAGATGACTTACATTCATCATTGAAACTAATGCACTACTCCCGAACGTGACCTGCATTAATCGTGCAGAATTGATTTATTTATGATGGCACGTCCTATAACGTAAAAGTAAGCTCGAGGTTAGAAAATGAAACGAAAAAGCCTCCCAAACCTTAAATCATTCAGTGTACACAGTGTGTAAGCCTTGTTTTTGATGTGAATAAAGGGGGCAAGTTTCTTAAGAAATTGTAGTGTTGCGAAGGTGGGGGACTGATACAAGATAATTTAACTGATATTATAAATATTAGCTCCAGTAAAGAATTTCTAAGCTGATGTTTCTAGCGTTAGCCCTTTGTCAGCGCTTTAAAAAAGAGCTAACGCTCATATTTTCGATGTGGTTGAGTTCTTAGCGACATGTGGTTGAGTTCTTAGCGACTTCAAAAGTGTCATATTGCATTTAACTTTGTTACGCGTGGTAAACTTACTGACTGAGTGAAAAAAAAATGACGCGATGACGGTCATGAGAACTTGTTTAGTTACATGTCATTTAGTGAATTCTTTTATATAATACTGAAGTATTTGGTCAAGATTTGTATTTTAAATCCAAAATTCCACGGTTACGTGGGTTTGACTATTGAACTCCTAAGATTTAATGGTTACTTCTCTCCTCTGACTGCTAGCACATTTTCTTGTAAATTAGTTACGAGAATTTGATGTTAGAGTAAGAAAGTAGCTTTGACCTGATAAGTTTGAGAATTCTCATCAACTGTTTGCTGGATAATGTATGTATATAATAGGGAGTAACTACATTTTAATCACTTCTGGAAGTTAAGGGCTAAGGCCATCACTGTGAGTTTCCGAACTTTGGTTGTCTTGTTTAGTTGTCCGATTCTTTAGTGTCGTTTCTCGGAGTAATCGCTATCTGTATTTTGTTACGAATTTCTTGGGATCACACAAGTTTATCCAATCATTTGTTATCCTTACGTGAGTCCTATGATTCAAGTGATTATAGCGACTTTTCTTTAGCCGTTGTTTAGACGTGATACTCGAACAATGACGTTCATTGATGGAATAGTGCGGTTTTGCTGAGCTTCTTCAAAGTTGCTGCTTTGGGCTTTCGTACTCCACCGTTAATTGATGATCGGAAATATTGCACACGATTTTATTCGTTTGGGGGGGGTTTCGTGAGAATATTAGGATGGGTATTCTGATCAGAAATGTTTAAACTTCCGAGGACAGTTTAGTGGTGGCATGTAGTGCAGATTCCTCGAACCCCCTACGTGCTTAGGCTTTCGTACTCAAAGATTGATTGCTTGATCGAACGAGTAAAGTACACACGTTTTTGCTAATTTTTGTGATGCTCTGGCGTATTTTGGTTCATGTTTTGGTCAAAATTGTCTAAGCGTGTAATACAGAGGTTAGCGGTCAGAATGGCTAAAGAGAACAAAAGAGAAAGGAAGTTGCTTGAAGTAAAAATTAGCAGAAATTGAAGCAGTGGTGTCAGACACGGTGAAAGAAAACGAGCTGAAAGCCCAAATTTGGACCGCTTGATACCTTTTGCTTAATTTGTTATGTGCGAAATTTGTTATTTGACAAGGATTCAATGTGTATACAGGGGTTAAATTTCTAAACAATTTATGGTGCCGTGTCGGTGGGGAAGAATACAAGATGCTGTGGTTTGCAAGATATCAACTGAGTTAGTAATGTAAATTTGCCACCGTAGAAGAGATTCTGAGCTAACGTTTAGAGCCCAATCCCTTTGTCAGAGCGAATGACGAAGGGCTAACGCTCGACACGTCAGTTTTTCAATGGTGCCCCATTTACATGATCGACTTAGTTGATAAAAAGGTGGTTTTCGTGTGCGTCTGTTGTCAATGCAATTGTTTGTTGCAACTGTTTGGTTTTCAAACTACAAAACTTTTTCTTTATCCTCGTATCACTCTACCAACAATTTCATATTTTTGTCTTCAAACGGATTTTCATTCAAAACTTTCATAAGTCATAGTATTGTTTAATAGAGAACACGGCAGAATCACTGATCAAAAGATGATAAGCGTATTGATAGTTCTCGTTAAAGCACCCATCGTTTAAAAAGTACTCTTTAAAATGACCACTTTTATCTGCGAAAAGAGTCTTCAACTTATTGTAAAGCGAAAGAGGTACTGGCTCGTTGACTTTCTTTTTCCATGCAGTTTTCTCGTCAAATGATCCAAATCCAATATCGTCTACGATATCATCAGCGGCTTCTCCTTCAAGTGCTGGCCCAGCAATGATATTTACCTCATCATCAAGTTCATATTTCTCCAAGTTAAGGCTCTTTAGAAACCACCTTGGTTGTAGCATATCCAGAATCTTTTTCATAATTATCTTTTTGGTTTCGCTTCATTAAATCCTCGTGCGACTCCATGTCAAGTCGAGGTCCTCCCTTGCCTCCAAAGTTCTTCCATATCTCTTGACAAACCTCGTTCATTTGCACGTTCCCCACCCTTTGGTTGTGAAGTTATAAAATGGATTCAGTCTCAAGAGTAAGATTGTTGTCGAATGACGCGTGTAGTAGTTGTGAAACTCTGCCTTCCTCAGCCATTTCTCGTACCTTTCAAGTTCAGGCATAGGGTTGGGTAGCCATCTTTCGTTACCAACCTTCACGTTTGATTTCCACATTCGCGAAACAGCTTTGTAAACACTTGGCGCCTCCGCTGCTTTCGGTGGAAGTTCGAACCAAGAATATTTTGGAATATGTCTCTTCCAAATCACGTCTATGCGAATCAGACTATTCCAATGCTTGCAAACTAAAGCAGAATTGCATAAATCATGGATTGACAAGTTACAGAAGATCTCTATAAGGACAATATAGGGAAGATGTGAACTTTCTGAGCGGCAGCCATCTTAGACTAGTTAATGTCGTGCCCAGTGTCTTCTCCTTTTTTTATTTTTAGCGAGGAATAGATATTGTCTTCCTAGCTCCTTACTCACACAAACAAATAAAATTAATCACGCAGGTCAATGTATAGAGGAGTTGGTTTTTCATCAGCAACACGGATAAAATTAGGCACGGCAAATAGGATGACAAACGTCCCTCTCCACCCCTATTCGGTACTCCTATTTTTTTTTTTTTAACCTATCTAACCGTGGTGGATTGGAGCCGAATCACGCGATCGAAATATGACTCTGCGTAGCCGAGGATGCTATAAACAGTATTTTTATCATGATCATCTAACTTCCCGGTAAATGATGTTCAGAGGAGTTTTATGCAACGGCAATGATGGCAACATCAGAAGAAAACGTCCTCTAAAGACATCGGCAGTTTTAATGTGAGACACTTTTTCTCCGGACGATTTTATCGATGCCACGACTAATTGGTAAACAAAGCTGAAGGGTGATTTACGCGAATCTAGGATGACAAAGGATGCTGCTTTCACCATTCTTCCTTCGTACAACAACATATCAACCACTAGAGTTCCGCCCGACCAGATCAAGACTGATATCTGCCAAAAGATTCTATATGAGAACGTCAACGGCAGGTATGCGAGGATCAATTCAGACCTCGTTACATTCGTTTAACCGCGATCGTCCAGACGGTTGCGTCAGTTCGTTGTAAAAAGCGAAAATACTTTCACTTTCTTTTTCATCGATAAACATTGATGATCGAGAAAAATTTACTATATCAATTATATCTAAGTCATTAGGGAACAATAAGGTAAGAGGCTTCCTACAATGTGCAGCACACAGCAACCAAGCAACGGTGAACAAAGGACAGATTGGCGTCTGGTTTATTTAGACATTTAATTTGACTCCATGAAAGTAGATTCTTGTTTTAAAATTAGTTTTGCAAGGATCATAAGTAGAAGTTGAGCCCCGTTATCCAACAGGCTGTCTCCTCTTGCATAAGCTTCAAGGAATCTTGTTAGATTCCAAGGCCAGGTTGTTCAAAGCAGGGTTAAGATAACCCAGGGTTAGTGTGAACACTGATTTCAGATCTTCAGTATAATTATTTTTATCTACATTTTAATGATTGGATGTTCTGAAATGAATTGAGAAAATTATTAGCAAAAAGGCTTTTGACCAAAGGAATAATGAAACTTGGATTAAAATTTAACGTTGGGCTAGCACTGATTGGACTTTGAACCACTGGACCAAGTTCTCTAAAAAGGTATTTGTTTGGAAGGTGCAGTAATGTATTTCCATGTGCAACATTGAACATTTTACTTATCGCTCTTTCATTCTCTTTCCGTATAGTCACATCAGGATTCTTGATGTAATCCTCCTGATTCCAAACATTCTGTTTCTGATGTTCCTTATGTACAGACTTGGAGTAGCTCATGTACAGCTTAGCAAAATAAGATGTCCAATTGTGAAGACTGTTTATTTTATGGTAGGGATTGAGATGATTTTAAAAAGAAATGCAACCAAATTCAGAAATTCATGCAGGCCTTGCAAAGCCATGCCCTCAAGAAAGTTTCACCCACAAGTTTTCATTTTGAAATACCTGATGTAACAGGTAACCTAGGACTTCTTAATTGATTTTGTCTTTCGATAGGTATTCTTTGTCTGTATCATTGGAACAGCAAGATGCTTTGTCTCGATGCTTCTGACGTCAATCTTGAAATTACATCACAAGGATTCTCTGCCAACAAAGGTCCTTAAATTCTTTGACATCTGATAATTTTATTTTAATTATAGGCTGTGTCAGGGTTTCTATTCAATGGTGTAATAGATGCAAAAAGGAAGGCACTGTAATGCAAACCTATGGAAGCTTGTCAGTTCCGCAACATAAGAGGGCAATAATTAAAGCTTGCAATATTGGCCATCACAATCATTGAATCTGATAGTGTTTGGCACTTAAAACACAACACCAAGAGGGTCTGTGGTCATGCTTAGACTTTCCACTTTTTTTTTCCACTTTTAATTTTCAAATATCCACTTCTCACATCCTTCTATTTAAATCCCACTTCCCAATTCTCCCTTCCCACTTTTCACTTTCCACTTTTCACTTTCCTCTTTTCACCTCTCTCTACTTTTCACCTCTTCATATCCCTCTTTCCACTTCCCACTTTTTGGGCACTTTGTGTCATGAGTTGAAACTTGTATTTTAATGCAAAATATATTTTTCATAGATTTTGTGGATTATACTGAGATGCTTTTTGTTAGCAGTTGAAGTGAGTGTCATAATATTCGCGGTCTGGGCAGGTATGGACAAGAGTCAACTATTGAGAGATGTAAATATTGATTGACTTCATTTAAAGGTGAATTATCACAAACTATGTTTGCCTTTAGGGAACATGCAAGATGGACGCAAAGGTGTAAGGAGAGTTCTGGGTCTGTCACTATTTTGTGCAGTTGCATATTCATCAACTCAGGTTTGCTGCTTTTTGTGATGTTCATCACCTTAAATCTTAAACTTCTATGACTGACCAAGACAGAATTTCACCTAACATTATCATTACAATATCAAGCAGATAAGTGATGAGAATAAAGACAAATATCAGTTAAGGGCTTATTAGCTGATCCAATACCAAATTCTCAGAACTAGCATTACATGAGTTCTACAGCAAACAGGAAAGAGAATAACTAGTGAGATCTTGGGACTGACAGTATTAACAGCATTTTCCTCATCCTTCTTCTTCCTCTTTTTCCTCTTCTCTCTCTTCTTCACTTTGTTGTATAGTGATAATTATTGATAATAATTATATAAATAGCTAGAGAAATAATATTTATAATGATAGCAATCATAATCATATTATTCTATTATTATTATTATTATTATTACTTTATCTCTCAGTTAGTGCGGACGCTATGATTGGTCATTTTAGCGGATCATATTTCCACAGCATGCTAAATTCAGTAGTTTGTTTGACATAAAATCCTCTCCCTCCCCCCCTTCCCCCCTCCACACACACATTTGAACCCAGATATTTATTAAATACCTTACTACCTTTGTTTTCTCGGTCTGTACTGTAAGTTTTGGAACCCCTATTTGTTTTCTCGGATTTATGGCTCACACACTTCGCACTGGACTAAATATCCGATTGGAAAAAACTCGGTCCATAACCTACTGTACGGATTTTTGACTCGGTTAGTAGGAGGTATACATACAGTGTACTATATGCCATGACCATTTGTTGGTTTTGGCTCTCTTAGCAAGACATAGATATACTTAACAATGTAACAATCACTTTATGGTCATCATCATTACCTTCAACATCGTAAATATTAATTCTTCTATTTTCCTGGTACTCAGGCCACACTTGAGTTTGTCAAATGCCCAGGAATAAATCGCCGAATTTTTGGAAGTGAAAAGTATGATTTCTATGGACATGGTGGATTGTTGTTTTTGTCGTCTACTTCTCTCTTTTTAGCTTTGGTAAGGATGATCTTATTTATCCACAATTAGATCAACACAAAACGTTTTAAAAGAAGCCGCTATGAAATATAGATGACAAGTTCAAGTTTAAGCTGATTTCCAATAATCAATCCCATATGTAAACCGCCGAGGCAAAGTTTGATTTTCTGTTTGTAATAAAGCATCATGTTCGGTAGTAGTTCAATCAAATTAATTTGCTTTTATAAACCGAGTTGGTAATGCAAACTGGTCACAGTAAAGAGTTTCCAAAGCTGGCGCTTCGAGTCCTGTGTCATTCGCTCTGACGAAGCCCTTTTTTCATCTTTTATTTCCTCTCCTTTTAGGTATATCTTATTATACTCATTTTGCCGTGCACCAAGCTAAGAGAGTGGTTTGTTTTACCTGGTAAGATTGCTGTTAAGTTTCAGCCTGGCAAATATACTTGTAGCCTCTCTTCTGAAGGACCACACCCACGGTAGTCTTTTCACAGGGCTCCATTCAAAGTTCCGACGGGGATCTATTCGATTTTCTAACAGGCTCTCTGAGACTAATACTCTCTGTTAATCAAGGAAGTACGATTAGGAACTTTTATTTGCGTTTCGCCGTTGAATTTAGAGCGCAATTAAGAGTTAGTGTCGTGAAATCAAACTTAAGGTAATCCGATTTTCCATTTTCCTGCGAGCATTCCCTTCGGTACGACCATTTCTCCGCTCGTGGGAAAGTATGAGGCTTTGAGGAACGCGAGAAACCGAGAGGAGGTCTAAAAGGGTCTGGCACTAATGAGCTAGCCGGCAAACTTCTCTCTGTTTCGTCTTAAATCTTCCCGCGGGCGGAGAAACACGCGTCCTGCAGCGCTAATAATGATAATAATCATAGTGAAAACAAACAAACTGCCTGAGGCACGGGAAAACAAAAGGGACCAATTTGCGGTTGGATTTCGTTTTGCTTCTGATTGGTTTAGAACGTCGTGCGAGTTTTCTGGACCAATCAATTAGGTCCATGCAGATAACGTCTACCCCTGACTTACGTTTGGTATTCTCCTTTGTAGGGCGGAAATCTTTCTACTTGTATTGTGCTGTGATGTGTGTCGTGAACCTAATGCAAGGTTCTGCAAGTCTATTGATGTACGAAAGTTTTGTGCAAAGTTTATGGTAGGTTCCGGATCTCTGATATTACGTTGTTCTCGTGGTTTAGGGTATATAGCCAGCTTTCAAGGAAAAACACTCGAATTGTCAACTTCAAAGGGAAAGGATGGGTGGTTCGTTTAAACCGTCAGCCCAGTTGTCAAACGGCCTTTATAATAATTCTTCTTTCAATAAAGTTGCCTGTACCTGATAGCAGTTTTTCTACGTTGCACTTGTATATCGTTCTGGTCCCCTTTTCTTAGCAAGTCTGTTTCAAAATCCCTTCCCTAAGCTAGCCTGGACAAAAAACTTTTTCTAGATCGTAGCATATTAACCTCATAAACTGTATCCAAAGACAAATGAATAAAGGGGGTAAGTTTCTAAAGAAACTGTGGAGCTGCGTCAGTGGGAGAGTATAGCAGGTAATTCAGTGTTAGTAACTGAGTTGAAAACGTAAATTAGCCACCGTCAAGGGTAAAAAAGCTGACGTTTCGAGTGTTAGCCCTTCGTCAGAGCGATTGACGAAGAGCTAACGCTCGAAACGTCAGCTTTTTTACCCTTGACGGTGGTTAATTTACGTTTTCAACTCAGTTGCTAACACTAAATTACTTGTATCCAAAGACAGAACGTTTGCATGAATCCACTCGCGTCATCCCAAATACCGCAATCTGATTGGCTACGCTTGAAGATATGCCTGAAGTGAAACGGCATGTTGAGTATTTAAGAATAAGAGATACTGTAATCAAATCATAATAGCATTGTTTACTCTGTTTTGTTTTGTTTATTTACTTTGTTTTTTGTCAGCGTTTTAGACTTCACTTTGATTATGTATTATGCCGTGTTTGGTCCCATTGTGTACTTTGCATTTCTGAAAGATTTCTTTCGAAGGTGAGCCACTTTTTTTCTTCCCACTTTTTCATCTTTCTTTTCAGTTTACATTCATTTTTGAATGGCTTAGTAAATAGAGCGCTCATAGAATGAGTGACGGGAAGTAAAAAGCAGAGTTACCATAATGGCCAATCAGAGCGAAGCAAAACATTACAGGGAACCAATTAGAATGAAAAGCGGGAAAAGACAAGCTGCGTCAAGCGCGGGAAAACGCTCGTCATCAAGCGTGGGAAACGCTTGTGATCCATCAAAATGAGATTGGTTTTACTTTTAACCTTGATTGGTTGAAAAAGTGGCGTGAGTTTTCTTGGCTTATTACACCCATTTTGAAATCACTGGTGTTCCCTGTAATCTGATTGGCTCTTATTGGTGCGATTTATTCACGAATCGCACCATTTTTAAAAGTAACCAATCAAGTTGCAAGAAAATGAAAGACAAAGAGTATCGTATGGCAAATTTTGCTACTTTTGTTTCCAAAACTCTCACTTTTTCCCCTCCAAAAATGGATGAATTTAATTTAAACCAGCTCAGTACTGCATCAATAAAATATTTGAAGTGACCAAGTCCTGTATTTGGGCGATTTCAAAATGGATGTCATAAAGTGGTAATTGAACCTCGTGTCGTGCAATTTTGGTCTGAAATCATACTTGTGATTTCAAATCGAACTCGCGCTGTGCGCTTGATCGATTTTGAAATCACACGTATGATTTCAGCTCAAATTGCACTCCGCTCAGTTCAATTACTATTACTAATCAACGAGCAAAGAGAAGTAAAACTAACGCAATATAGGATCACTTTTGACATTCAATCGCTGTTTTTCGGGGCAAAGCGAGTTATCAAAACTAAAAGAGAAGAGGAGAGGTATTTAGTGCTTTTTATGGGTATTTTAATCTTTGAAGATAGTTGGATTTCTTTTGTTCCGTCTACTGTGGTTATATTTTTGTTCATTGGCCCGCTGTTACAATGGCTGTGCCATTTGAAAAGTTTCCTGATATGCACTAACGATTGTTCGTTACCACTAAGTGATGATCAAGGGGTGGGGCCTGGGGCCTGGGGCCTGAGGTTAAGACCTACAGACCCTAGACCTCCGGACCTCCGGACCTCCGCACCTCCCCCTCCCTAACAAAAAATTCCTGTTTCCGCCCCTAGCTCGTTTGTTCATGTTTGTCAATTGGTCATGGACAGTCTTGCAAATAAGTTAGACTTTCTTTTATAATCCCTATGTGACCAACTTGGTTCGTCGTATTTTGTTCTTTCAGTGCGTATACGCATGTATTGACAGTGGATAATGATTATGCCAGCTACTCATACTCCTATCTGCCAACAGAAGATGTCGGAGACGGTTACGTTTCTTCTGAATTTGATTAAATAGTGACGCATGTGAGACGGAGACAACACAGCGGTCGGACGTCGTGCATGCGCGAGAGATCAATTCTGACCGGCCGTGAGCAACACAGCGGTCAAACGTTTTGCTTTTGCTAGGAATCAATTCTGTAGGTCAAACGTAGTGCATGCGCCAAAGGAGGAATCAATTCCGGCTGGCTATGCGCCATTTTCCCGCCCTAAATTTTAGAGGAAAACATGGGAAACAACTACTGTCTTACAAAATAAGCGAAACAAAATTAAAATGTTCATAAAAGAAAAAAAAATTATGGGAGAGGAAAACTCGAGAATTTTCGAAGACAAATCTTATTTTCGCACGGGTTTTACCAGAAACTTAGATGCTTTTTGTAATACCGTGACTTATTGGCTTGTGTGGTTTTTTGTAATTCTTTTGAGACAGCCTGAAAACGCCACCTATTATGCAACCTAGGTTTTAGAGCGTTCGCGCATATGCAGACGTTTCACCGCTGCGCTGACGGGGACTCTTACTTACAGTGCGTGGCAAAAGTCCTGACACGCTGTTCCATTTTTTTAATTTTTCTCTACAACTTTCATTGACCTCCCCCACTCTCCCATTTAAATGTTCCCTGACGAGTTGGGAAGAGGTTTGCTGGGGGCCTGGCTGGCTTATCAGTGCCAGGCCCCTCGCAGACCTCCTGCTGGCTTTCGTTTTAGGATAATGATTTTGACATAGAATTTCTTATTAACTTTAAGATATTATGAGTACGTTAGGATGTTGTATAGATATTTAATTCAGATTTTTAATTTTTTTTTAACTTTATCGTAATAAGATTAGATTTTTTCTTATTGCACAGTTCATTGTATAGATAATAGCTGTATACAACGGCTCTTACATTGGTAAGTCTCAAAAATGTCGGGTAGTTTGTCTCACAATGTCACGCAATCTTAAGAAGGTCGATCACGGTAAAACGCTTGTCGCACTCAGTCACGCAATCTTAGGGTCACATTGAAGGGAAGATTTGCTTTGGATCCCTAGTTACAATAAAAGTTTTAATTTCAACGAGATACTATCGTGGCGTTGATGAAAATATGTTGAGGCAGATTAACACAAATGGGCAAAACTGAGGCGTACACGGTTTCATTTTATTCTAAAAAAAGTCAAATAATAAGTGGTTACGCTAAACAATGGACTTTAAGAGAAACCTTTTAACACTTATGCTTGCAATTTTGCAGACCTGAGAGGAACATCCACACCACAAATTCTTACATCTGAGTCAGTAGCCATAAATTAATTCATCAGAAGTATAACAAAATTCTTGAACGCGATTGGTTATCACAAGCCCGATTTGAGCACTAATAGGACAGTGTACGCATCATGCCTGTAATTGGACAGTGCAATAGGACAGTTTAAGGAACAGTTAACACATTATGCCTGTGTAAGTGATAAGTGGACAGAACTCGTCATGTGCGCGCGCTGCTGTCTTGCATTTCTTCGAGTTAATTGTTGTTTTTTTTTTTAATGAGAACGCATGACCGATGTCTAGCTTCTTTCTCAAATTATGTCATAGTTTTAATTAATCGGTAACAGGACTTCCTATCCTCCAATTCTGTCCGTGATTGACAAATCGGACTCCCGCTTCGTGATCGTCCAATTTCGTTTATCACTCGTATGATTACAGACCGAATTGGACTTTCTCTCGGTCATGTTACCGTTACTAATTATTTATTCAATAAAAATACAGAATAAGGGCCGTTCATTATTTGCCGCGGGGGGGGAGGGGGGCAGTCAATTTTCTGTAGCCTCTTGGCAACAAACGTTCCTCCCTCCTCTCGTAGAACTTTTATTCTCAACTTTTGTCACAGTTTGATAAAATATCTTAAAATTTAGAAGATGTGAATTTTCTGTAAATAAAACTATCACAGTTGATATTAAAGAGTTGTTATCTTATTTCGGGATTTCCGTCTATTTTCGGATAGCCACACCCAATACCGGACAGTAGATTCCGTCGGATTTCTAACGGATCTGTCATATTTACAGATCACTGGTATCCATTGATAATTTTGGTTGGAGAGAGCCATTGTTTTGAGGTGTTTTTTCCTATGGCACATCGCGATTCCCGTCGAGTCAGGACTGGAATTTCTGCCATCATTTCAGCGGGATTCCACCTCCTTCCCCGACTCCAAGTTTTGCCGATATTCCTGTCATACGGGGAAAGAGGAGATCATGATTTTCCGGCCCAGGTTATTTTTAACGCTCAGTTAAAAAAAAAAAAAAGACTTCGTTTTAGTCTTTTCAGCTCTTTTCCATTTCCGCAACTTCATCAATGGACAAAATAAAGCTGCCTCCAAAGGGCAAAGGGCCCTGGGACGAAACAGGCTAACTAGCCCCAGAAGGCTTTTCGGTGAAATAGAACCCAGTCTCCATCTAACATTGTTTCCGGAGGAGTGGTTGGATACTTGGTGTTTTCACAAACATCGATCGCATCAGTAGTTGTGATCGACTTGAACTGATTTTATTTATTGGAGATTATTACGCTCTGTAACTTTCATTTTCCAAGCGTTTTAAAGCAAGCAATTTTAGAAACCTCAGCGACGAGCTTTTAACTTGTTGGCTTCGTTTGTTTTTGTCCTCCATCACAACAACTTGAAATGGCAGCAGAGTGTGTTACTCGAGTCGAGTTGCACATCTCTTGTAGAGGTTTGCTCGACAGGGACACAACTTCAAAATCCGATCCACTGTGTGCTTTGTATATTCAAGATTCACTTGGAAAGTGGGTTGAGGTGAGTTTTTCCCACTTGTTAAATTGAGCATTCGAAGACTCGATCGCTAGATGAGACATGCATCCTTCAGCTGTTAATAACGGTAAACTAAGATAGTTTGCAATTGTTTACTTTTATCATAACCCCAATTTCTTTCCAGATCTTTAAAGTCGTTTTAAAGCTAGAAAAGTTTAAACCACGGTAGCTATCATAAGCAATAATGCAACGGAGTGGTTTTTACTCTCCTGTTGGTTCTCAAGGAAAAATGTATTATTTTCAGGAATTTTAAATTTATTTTAACAAAAGTTATGGTTTTATGTTGTTCATTTTGATATGTGCATATTCAGATGGTCAATTGCCTAATTTATCCTTACAAGTATGTATTACCTTTGCCTTTTATGAATATACCAGTCTAAAACTGAGAATCAAAAACAAAAACAAAATAACTATCAAGGAAAATTATTTAAAATCTTTATTTCTTTTCTATGACAGGTTAGACCTTAAATGCAAATGTCACACTTCTGTGGCTTAGCAACAAGTTATGTCCAATGTCTTTTTAAAATGAAAATTTTCTGTGATCTCCTTCCTGGGGTCCTAGTAGGTTGGATCAGGAACAAGGAAACCTATGACTGAAAACTGAAATATTTATGTAAGAATTGCAGCTATTTCTGGCCAATTTTTAAACTGAAAAAATGCCAAATTTGGTAACATAATCTACATTTTTTACAAAGAATTCACCCCTCTCAGCTTTCTTTTGTAGCACCTTTTAAAAAGTAGTGGTTGTCAATGATTTTTTATATTTTGGAATTTCTAAGGTGATCTAATTCCAAAACAGTTTGAACCCCTTAACTCCCAGAAGTGATTGACATGAAACTTCTTTTTATAATATCCTCATATTATCCAGCAAACAGGTTATGAGAATTATCAAACTTATCAGGTGGAAGTGGTTATCTTGATCTTGCACCAAATTCATATAACTAATTTACAAAGAAATGTGTGATAGCTAGAAGGGAGAATTAACACTAAGATCTTAGGAGTGGGAGGATTAAATTAATTTTAACTTATCATGGTCTTGATACAAGTATATTGGATAGTGTGACATGAGAACATGAATGGGTAAATCAAACCATAACTTGCAAGTTCTATGCATTGGTAACTGGCATTTCCAAAACCCAGGTGACTACCAGAGTTCTGTCAACTACATGATAACGTATCACTTGTTATTGTGGTCAAAATTATTACTTATTGGCCCTTAATAAAATTTTCACAGTCAACTACTTTTGCAGAGTCTGATGCCTACTTCAAAACATTTTGAAACCCTATGTAAGCTATCATTTAAATGCATTTATGTCTTTTGAATGCTGCACATTTTTATTTCTCTCCTTTTTATCTTTCCACTTTAGTATGCTAGGACTGAAAAAATCCAGAATAACCTTAATCCAGATTTTGCTAAAGGAATTGTGGTGGACTACTACTTTGAGATGGTTCAGAAACTGAAATTTTCAGTTTACGATGTGGATAACGAGACCAGTTCACTGGGAGATGATGATGCTCTGGGTGATATGGAGTGTAATCTTGGGCAGGTAAATCTTCTTTGTTGTTATGTTGCTCAAAGGCTTTCAAATGTCATGAAGAATTTCAGATAATCAGGACTGTTCCTGTATCATGACTAAATCAGATTTTTCTCACTAAATAAATAAAGAGTGGAAATAGTAAACATTCCCCAAAGTTTTACACGATTAGAGAGAAATAGAGAGGATTTCTATCTGCCAGGTGCTTCTCAAATTTTACAACCTTATTGTTGTTAACCACATACAAAATAATTATACGAAAACTTCAGTTATTAGTGTTAAGGATGTGTGTATAGCATTAGTGATAGTGGTTTAATTCATTGCTAAGTTCCAGTCTTGTCTCTGATTGCTAGCGACAGATACTGGTGCCTTCAAATTTTCTGGCGGATGCACTGCATTGATAAAATCCGTAATGGAAGAGAATCTGAAAATTTTGTAGAACCAACATTAGACAGAGTGACAATTATACATGACACATTAGTCAGCTTCCACTATCATGTTAATTTATTTAATATGTGTTTGCGTAATCTTCTAGGTGGTTTCAAAGAAGTCCTATGCAAGTACACTACAAATCAGTGGAAGGCAAGTGGGAACCATTAATGTAAGTGCACTGTTATGATCATTGTACAGTGTATACCAGTCAGGCATATTCAGAATATATAGTGATTAAGAATTTTTGTCTTCTTAGATGAACCCCTTCTCTTTTATGTCTTCAAGGAGCCTACTATTAGCCTGCAGAGCAGGTGTAATTTTGGCTTGCAAGTGCTCAGTATGCTGCCATCTTTGATTTTAATGGCAGTGGAAGTCTGGGGAGAGAAAGAAATTTGTATTAAGGGGGTGATCAATGGTTAAAATAAGAAGAGGGGTGGGGTGGAGGAGTGAACATTAGCATGCGTTATTTTGGTAAAGAAGCACTCAGTATTTTCTCATTGAAAATTATGGCCACCATCTTTGATTTTAATGGCTGCAGAAGGCTTGGGAGGGAAAGAGATTTTTACTAAGGAGGCAATCAATGTTCAAACCCCCAATGACAACTCTGACTCCAAATCAGACGTGGCCAGCAGAATAAACAATCGCGAGCTTATAACATTTAATTGGCCCAATCAGATGCCCATTTTGTCTCACAAGTCCTCCCCCTCTTCTTTAAAAAATCAAACTCTGTGATTGAAACAGTAATTGGGTGGTAATCATCAGAAAATGAATCTGTCCTTTTTATGAAACCCTGCATTCTTAGAGTTATAACCCACCCAAAATTTCCAAGGATACTAATTACCTGTATGTCTCTCAGGGCTTAATATGTACAGTACATCTTCTACAATGTCAAAGAACCCTACCTAGTCAGAGAAAAACTCTCCGTTAATATCAATGCATACAATGTTATGTTAAGATCAGATTTTCGTTGATATTAACTTTTTGCAGGTATATGCAGAAGAATTAAAAGGTGGAAATGAAATAGTTAACCTTACTTTCAGGGCAACAAACCTAGACAACAAGGTACCGTGTTATGCTTTCATGATACATACATGAACAGAACTAAACAGTTATTTAGATTAATTCTTTGGTGATACATGTACATTGTATGATTTTGGTTCGTCATAATGGGTTTCTTTTTAAATAAAATAAGAGAGATGGTAAGGTTTCTTTTTCTTTCAATTTTTTTTTTTTACTATTCAAACCAGTTTAAATAATTTTCAATGTTTATTTTGATTCCTTTGTCATGTATTAATAAATTATTAAAATCATAAATGAAGCAATTTCAAAATCTACTGCTTTGGATAAAAAAAAAAGAGGAAGCAAAAAATTTCTGGAAATACATCGTAGATGGTAGAGAACGGTTAGAAGATTAAGTCTGTACTGGAGCCTATTGGCTTATCCAGCTGAAGCTTATCCCAGTTTCCATGTTAAGTGAAGAGACAAGGAGTAATACTACCCTGTCTTGGATGAAATGCTAGTTCATCCCAAGGCTACCTCTCAGAAGTTCATCAGGCTTCCCTAACATTTTGCAGGACAAAAAAAATTCTGAGTAATCATTAATGAACTGAACTACAAACTTGTGGATTTTTTCTCTTAACTGCTCTACCACTAAGCTACTGAGAACACTATAAGAAGCAAGACCCCTATTTACCTTATATGTGACACTTGTTTTAAATATTGGAAGGATCTGCAGTGTCAAAACTGGTTGTTTGTGTCAGTAAAAATGATACGAGAGATGGTAAATTTAATGCTCACAATTTACTTTCTTTCTGGATCTATAAATACTGTGGTAATTATCAGTTTAAATGACTGTCAGTTTAAATGACTGTAAATTAAAATTGTATTTTTCTGATAGGACTTTCTGGGCAAATCTGATCCCTTTTTACAATTGTCCAAACTGAAAAGTGATGGTGGAACTTTGCTTGTTCATCGCACTGAGGTGAGAATGTTTACAATTAAAACATTATTAGTCAAGAACAATAACTTTGCTTGTTAAAGTATACAGGAACTGTCATGGATGTTGAGCAATCCATTTACAGATACTTTTATTAATTCAAATAACTATTTATTAATTGTGCATGTATGTGTTGATGCGAAAGTACACCTTTTGCTTTCTCTTTTGTAACAATTGATTTTTACATGTAATTATTATTATTATTGAAAAAATTTAAAGACGCTTGTCTTACTTTCAAGGTCTTAAGGTCATAATGATTGGCGGGATACTGTACTGTATGTTCACTTTGGAATGTTCACTTGACTTTGAAGTTTACGTATTTGATCATATTTAGATTGTTCATTTGTTTAACTGTTGGTTTACTTTTTAACATGTAGTCGGAATAGTTGTGTATTTGGTTGTTGTATTATGGAGCTATGCTTGATATCAAATGAATTTCTGTAAATAATGTGGTACCTGCATCCTGTAAATATGTCAGTTAACCCTTTAATTCCCAAGATCTGATTGTTAATTCTCCCCTCTAGCTGCTACTTATTTCCTTGTAAATTAGTTATGAGAACTTGGTGCTAGATCATGATAGCAGCTTCTTTCTAATAAGTTTGAATATTCTCATTACCTGTTTGCTGAAAAATGTATGGATATTATAGGGAGAAGTTTCATGTTGATCACTTTTGGGAGTTTAAGGATTAAACAAAAATTTCCATGTTACTGTGCATCTGCTTGGTGATAGATTGACATCAAAATGTGGTAAGAACAGGAAAGTGGCACACTTCAAGTATGGTTATGTGTGTCACTGATGTTCTCACCAAATTTTGATGTAATGTCCTTCTTCAATCTATTTTAACAGTATAGACTCGTTGAAAGGCAAAATTTTGTACACGAGGATGTCAACATCTGCCCTCTTTTTTATTATGATACAGCAAGTAAGAACCGATTTCCTTTTTTTTTCTTTTTTGTGGTAATACTACAGGTTGTCAAGAACAACCTCAATCCATCATGGATGTCTTTTAGCATCGCGCTGGCAACTCTGTGTGGTGGAGACTATGATGCACCAATTAGGGTAAGTTCAATAATAATGATAATAATAATAATAATAATAATAAATAGTAATTATTATCAGTTTAATTTAAAAGTTGACAAAATCTGTGTCACTTAAGCACTACATGTAATTGGGAGATTTAAGGCTCCAAGTGAATTAAATTAAACTGAGGATGTGTCAAATTTTGAGTGAAAAGCAAACCTTTTTTGTTGTGACAAAGGACTAACACTTGAATTATTACATTTTATCAACTCAGTTGATAAAACCTCATTTTCTTGTTACTCCTCGCTTACATGTGTACACAGCACCATAATTTATTTATAATAGAAAACTTACCCCTTCCACTCAAATTGTATTATTGGCAAATAATTTGGTTTTATCAATTGAGTTGATGAAATAAATATAAATTTACCACCTCAAAGAGTTTTTTATTATTAAGCAATTCAGTACGATACTTTTAATCCTATTGTGGTTTTCACTGAAAGATGATTTGAACATGTGTAAGCAGACAAGGTAGCCAAACTTGTAAAACTGACCTTTGAAGAATCCAATTGCATGACAGACACTTCAATCAAATTTAACAAAGTCTAATTTATAATGTTGCCAGATTGGCTGTTACGACTGGGATGAGGATGACGATAATGATTTGATTGGTTGTGTGGACATCACTCTTCGATCTCTGATTGACAGTAAAGAGTCAGGGGTATGTACATATTCTATACTGATTTTTTTTATTATTGTTTTGTTTACATTTGGTCACAACAGATTGATTGCTATGACTACGACGATGATGGAAGCCATGATTTTATTGGCTCAACCAATGCCTCTATGCGGCAATTGATAGAGACAAAACAATCTGGGGTAAGGTAAATGTGCTTGGTTACATGTACAGGTGCAATATAAAGCAGAAATTATGAAATATGCAGCACAGATTTTGATTGGTTCTGACTTATGATCTACTGGAGGACAGGTGCATTCTAGATAATGTCACCATGAGCAACATTCTACCTCCTCATTTTATAAAATAAAATAGATTCTATGTTACCATCCATGGGTCTGTACAGTAATAGATCACAGAAGACATAAAAATGTTGTAAGAAATTCATGACACAGTCATCTGAGTTTTTGCTTGCCACCTCTCTGTACTTAGTTACTTACTGGTGTCATCTACGATCTGTTACTGGACATAATCGTGGTAGCATTAGAAGTTACAGTATTATCATGTGTAAACTGTAGCAGGTCTTCTTTGTTCTAGAAGATTGATGTATTAACAGTTTACTGTTAAGTAGTATTTTCTTTAATCCTTCCATGCACCTTTACAGTTCAGAGGTTATTCAGGGACCAAAAGAGATGCCCAAAAATGCATTTTAAAGATCAGCAAAGTCAGGACAAAATCTTTTTTAACTGGCGACATGTTTCTTGGTCACAAAAGAAGTCTTTTTGAGTTGAAGTTCTTTGCTAAATTACATTTTTAAAATTTGTATTTCAGAAAGGACTTGACTTGGTCAATCCCAAGAAAAAGCAGAAGAAAAAAGGCTATGTGAACTCAGGAGTACTGTATGTGTCTCAATGCAATGTATGTAGTCAACATGTTTTACCTTCCATTTGTAAGTGACTCCGAAGACATTTAGCAAACTGTCTTTTTGCAAGTGCTGAATACCAGCTACCATTCACACCTTTAATTATTGTAATTTGTTTGTTTTTATCAGATAACCAAACTTTACACATTCCTAGACTATGTCATGGGAGGATGTCAAATTAACTTTACAGTAAGTGACACATAAACTTTGCATGTACATGTATATTAGGGTTTGTAGAGTGAGGGGGGGGGGGAATCCAGGAAAGTGGTGGGTAGAGAATGAGATAGTCCTACCTTGTATCAAATTTCCCACATTTGCACCATTTTTGTTTGTAAGGGTTGGAAGAGTGGGGAAATTGGAAGGGAAGGGGGGGGGGTGGCTAGACAATCAGATATTCCCCCTTGTATCAAATTTCCCACTTTTGTACCAATTTGTATATAAGGGTCGGGAGAGTGGGGGAATGGGTAGGGGGCCACTAGGCAATCAGATAATCCTACTTTGTATCAAATTTCCCACATTTGTGCCATTTTACTCCGCATGTACATAAGGGCTGGGAGAGTGGGGGAAGAGGGGGTAGGGGTGGATAGACAATGATAATTATATCCCCAACTATTAACATTTGTACCATTTTCGATGGACCTTAAAACCTATTTGAAAAAAATAATTTATGAGTTTTGAAGAATTAAGTTACATCTGTAAGATGGCTCTTAACTCAGTGTTTCCAGATCAGTTGGAGATTTCTTTTGTTTAAGGGTAAACTGAATGACAAAAAATAAACTTTGGGAGCAAGAATGAGAAACAGCATCCAGTGCAACCCACATTTGACAACAGGCCTGGAAATTGACTTTAGGTCTCAGGGTTGGGTGAAAATTAACAAACAGACAGTGGTCTAGTTTGATCTGTACTATTATCGACAATGATATTCATCATCACAGTGGTCAAAATGTGTTGGACTCATGAGGTATAGCCAAGTGAGTCCATTTTACATTTTGGGTGACACGTTTGACACAAGCAGCACAGTCTGTGCTCTAATTAACAGTAGGAAATTGGCCAATCAGATTGCAACATTACTGCCAATCATGGTGAAAATACTCTTCCCAGTGAGCCAAGCAGTTTTCTCTACTTTTTCCAATGTTTAAAAGGTAGTGTACACCGGGACATGTACTGAGACTTTTCTATTGGCCAATTTTTTCTTACTCTATCTAGGTTGGTATTGACTTCACAGCATCCAATGGTGATCCACGCAATGCCCAGTCTCTTCATTATTTGCATTCTCATGAACCCAATGAGTATGTCAAGGCTCTAGTAGCTGTTGGTGAAGTTTGTCAAGACTATGATACGTAAGAATACCTTTTTATTTCCCTTTCTCCCATTCCACTATTCATGTGTTCCACTATTCCTGTATTCCACTATTCCTGTGTTCTACCATTTCTGTGGATCTTTATTTTCCTTTCCCTTGGTTCCTCAGTACGATTTCCCCGTTCTTCTGTTCCTCCATTCCGCTGTTCCTCCGTTCCAATTTTTTCCTTTATGCTCAACATTGTACTTTCTCTCTCATGAAACGTTTTTTCATTGACACTATTTTCCTTATTCCAGTGATAAATTTTTCCCAGCGCTAGGATTTGGGGCCAAAATACCACCAGGCATGCAGGTCTGTAAGCAACATATCTTCTTTGTTTGTTTGTTTGTTTGTTTTTTCATTTATCATTTTTTTTCCCTCTTGAATTTTAATGCCTCAGTGGGGGGTGAGTATCAAAGAGAGAATTGAATTGTGAGTAAGTTTATTGTGTACATTTGTATACTTTGTATAATATAAATTACGTAAATAAGTTGTTTTGTTAATTTTCCTGTCCTTTGCTCTAAAGGTTTTTAATGTGTTTTTGGTTTCTAGGTTTCCCACGAGTTTCCTTTGAACTTCAACCCGACTAATCCATATTGTCATGGTAAGAAACGCTAACCGAAATTTCTTCTGTTCCCTTCCTTACACAATCCTAACTTGATACCAAATGGAGGCTACTGTGTTTATTGTATTTTAAATATTTTTGCAAAAAAGCTTACCCTTTACTGCGTGGTAAGAGTACTTCTCGTTGTTCTCTGGTAGGACGCGATGATTAAACAGATGTATCCGTTTATCTGTAACAACAACAAAACGCTCTCTTGTCGTGAATTAAACTATAAACGAAGAATTGTAATCGTTTTGGAAAGGTTTGAAAATCGGGGAAAAGCGCTTGAAGTATATCATCGGATATTTCCAAGATTCAGCTGAGGCATGTTCGGTCATGCGCTGCGCTTACATTAATCGCGCGTGAGCTCAAAATTTTGATGGACTATAATCCATGGATGCAAAAAAAAATTGGTGCAAGAATATCTTGTACTATACCGTAGATAATACAGAGGCCCATACACGGTTGTTTCAAACCGGCTGCTTCTTCTCTACAATCTTGACAACGCTCTCAAAATTCTTAGAGCGTTTACACGGTAAAACTCAAGACGCAGATTACAAAGGATGCATTTTAGGTAGATAATTCGATTAAAAAGAATTAAAGAATTCGGACATGTCGCCGCTCATCAAAATTCGGCGGAAATAAAATCTTACTTTCATTCTTAAATGCGAATGTATGCCATTTCGCATGTACTTAACGGAAAATAACACGCCTACGATGATCGAGATGCTTCAAATGAAATATGTTAAAGTTTATTTATGCCAATTTTTTTCCGTTTCGCAGGCATCCAAGAAATTGTTCTTGCATATCAGAATTGCATTCGCCAAGTGCAGCTGTATGGCCCAACCAATGTGGCGCCGATCATCAATCACGTGATTAGATTTGCTGAGCGAGCAGGCCAGGAAAACACAGCATCGGTAAGGAATCGATATCACATCGGCCATGATCGATATTTTGTCGGTGCTCAACAATATACCGATGGCTGTTGAATTCCAAATTCTGCCATGGGTTTTTGTGCGTTTCTTTATTTTTGTTTTGTGTTAATCTAACCAGTACTGTAACGGATCAAAAAAATGATCACCAATCTAAGAATTCTTAACTATTAAACAAATTCTCCTGGTCAGTACCAATGGAAATTACACAGAAGAGTAAGGGGGATATGGTTACCGATGCTAAGGTGTCAAGGGTTAAAATCGCTTCCACACAGTTTCAAATTCTCAGTGTTAAAGACAAGAGACTTCTACGGCAGTAGGTATTGAGAATTGCTATTTCGATCCCACCAGCAATACTATGTGCTTTTACTGTTGACGGATGGCGTGTTATCAGACATGGCGGAAACAAAGGCCGCCATAGTAAAGGCTTCTCGCCTTCCCATGTCCGTGATTATTGTAGGAGTTGGACAGGCTGACTTCAAAGACATGGATGAACTTGACGCTGATGAAGGACGGTAAGGCTACAAATTGAGTGTTCATTAAAGCAATCCTGGTTTGTAGTGATTTTGCTTAACATTTTGGTTACTATTAATAAAATCTTCTCCCCTTCATGAAATAGGTTACGGTCTGGGCATCATTATGCGGAAAGGGACATCGTCCAGTTTGTACCATTCAGGGACTTCAAATCCGTAAGTAGACTGCATTGTTTTGGAATCTGCCTGTGCTAATTAACGATCATTGCGTGAATAGGATTCAGGTATCTGACAAAGTAGTTTGTTCCAGCATGAAGGATTATATCGAGTTTCCCTGACAGTGTTCGTAGACTCTGAAGATGATCTCCGCTCAGGTTGTCGAAACGTCAATCACCACTACCGACAACAGTCCTTCTCAGGACTACACTCACCCGGAGGATCAAACTACACTAGTACTAGTGTTCGTACCATTTTGAAGTCTCGGGTTCAGAGAAGCACTTTGATGGTTGAGTTTCATATCCAAGAACACAAAACAATCACCCGGCTTGTTCTTAAACTCGGACGTTTCGATCGTGAGTCGAGCTCGCCCTAACAGGTCTTCTTAAAAGATAGAATTATGGCTTCTAAACCATGGCGTCTCAGCTTGTCAAAAGTCCAGAATTAAATTATACAATAATGCAGCCATAATGACTTAAGAAATTCTGCTCTTGTTCCACAGCAACCTCCAGCAGTCCTGGCCAAACACGTGTTAGCAGAAATCCCTAAACAAGTCCAGGAGCATTTCAACAAACGTGGCCTCGCTCCCGTGCAGTCAAACGGACCTGAACCACCCTACTTGGGGGGTCTTTAATGAAATATTTAGTTCTCGTTCGTGCAAACTTGGTTTAATGAACTCGCTTTAGTGCTATTTTAGTTTTATGAATTTTTATACACAGTTAAGGTGGATGTGACTTACCTTAAGAGTTTTTATAAGCCTCCTCGGATTAAAGGGGGTGGGAGAAGGGGTTATTTTCCAGTCACAGATTAGAGAAGGAATACGCGTCGTTTTCTTGGTCGTGAAAGGTCTGGGCACGAGACGACAGTATGCGATGATCGTTACCCGGATGTGGCAGTAGGCTTTGTTCGATATTTGCGAAGTTCGTCACACGTAGTATGCATCTCATGTGAACATTGGTATTAGTGATGTTCGTTTTTTCAGTAGCTGGACTACAACATAAGTTTTTTTAGTTCTCAGTTAAGAGATTGTCGTGAACTAAACACTTATTTTACTTATTCAATCGCTCTGACGAAGGGTTAACGCTCGAAGCGTCAGCTTTTTTACTCTTAACGGTGACCAATTAACTTTTTAAACTCGATTGTTGACGCTAAATTACTAAGTTTACGGAATTGCTGTGGATTGCAGATCATTTTTTTTAGTCATATTAGTCTTTGTTCGACAAGGAGCCGATAGTGGCTACTCTGAGTTCGTTTCACCGAAGTTTTCACGAGAATTAATTTTCCTGGCTGGATTTGCCAATGTTTTGATAAAATTATGAACCCAAGGTCTTGCATTTAACTGGTTTCTATTTGTCTTACAATTACTCAGAATTGATCCACAGAAATGAAACGGCACCGTATGATAAATTAAGTTATGAGCTGTAAATTTTTTTGTAAGATTGACACTCGCAAGTGAGACTTCACTCGTGTGAAAGTCATCGATGTGTCTGCTTTCTCGTTTGCGTGTTACTTGCGTGCGTGTCACTTAGGCTTGTACGCGAGAGCGAGGACTTATGCGCATGATAGTCATCTTGCTCTCGTGCGCTTTTTAATCAAGTGTAACGTAGGCTTATACGCTAATTAGTCTCGAGATGATTACAATTTGGAGATTTGATATCTCTTGTACGTCAAAATAAGTCTTTTTGAAATAAAAAATGACTTGAGGACTGCTTTAGAAAGCTTGCACCTTTTTCCCTGTGATAAGTAGAGTAAATTACTCCTTTTTACCAAGGCAAACTTTTTTCCCAATACAACCAACATTATGAATCCTAGTAGCATATAAGATGCCTTGCATGTCTGAATCAGACAACACCAAAATATGATTACAATTTCTAAGGTTCTATCGATAAAATTATTTAAAGGAAAATTATAGAGAAAGAGTAGACACTTATTCAGCTCTGCTACTGCTGAACGGAGTGCGCAGTTTAAGGCTGATCATTGATACCCTTCCAAACATGCCCTTCCTTCCAATTCTCTTGTCAAAACAAAGCTCTAAAAGAATCTACACCAACTTGTTGGGGTTAAAATGCAGGAAGAATGCTGCGCCAAACGCATCAACAGCATTTAACCTTCTTGCTACGTAGATGTATAGCAACTGGAAGATGTTCAACCACATCGAATGACGAAGGCTAGCGATATAGCAAACTAAATGTCGCGATCTAAGCTCGACTAATAAAGACTTACATCGTGAGGAACGATTTCAAGCTTTATTAATGGGTTATCACGACAATGAACAAACATCTTATAACAACAGGTTAAACGTCAATTTTAAAAAAACAAAATTTGAAAGATTGTTTGGTTGATAGAAGTAACAGTTTAAATCGAGCAAGTCGAGTCATGGCATGAAAATAAAGCTTTTCAAGAAATTTATCTTCAAGGTTCCATTTTATCTAAGTTCGAGTTATCATTTCTCTACAGAAGTTTTACAATTGATTTAAGAATGAATCTTCAACTGAAATCCTCTTTCGTTTTCTAAGTGAACGAAAGTCTCCGAGGAGCCATTCGATGCTTCTCGACCCGCTTTACAAGTTCGGAAAACTTATTTGAATTACAAATGATTTTCAAAGATTAATATTCATATTTGCGAGCAGTCTAGCACGTGGAAAGAGCCAAGAAATTTTAGCGTCTTCTGCAGCTTCTCTGAGGCCATAAAACACATTATTTCGACGTTGTAACCTTAGCTTTGGTCCGCTCTGTCAAGTGTGGCGTGTGTTTCTTGACGTTGTTGACCTGGGTGGTTTAAATTTGACGTCGAGGACTTATGGATGTCATTTTGTCACGATTCTTGTTGAGGTAAATAACCTTCATAGAAATACATTTTTGATAGAAATACACTGTCCGTGCCTCTCGCCATTGTAAAATCAGTCCAAATTGCATAGTTGGATGTGAAAAAGGATTAGCTTGCCATACTTTGTACACGGCAAAACAATTCCTTAATGGCAGCCGCCATGACAGTTCTTCTTAAGCCACGTGATCTTGCGGGAAACAGTGAGAAATTTGCACTTTTTTGCTGCCGTATGTCAAGAGATAATATTCACTTGTACATATTGATATCTTATGTATTTATTTATCCCCTATCGTACTTTTTATCCATTCTTGTCCCATTTTGATATCTATACATGGAGAACGTCTTGTGTAAATAATAAAAGTGATGTTATTATTATTATTATTATTATAAAATAAGATGGCTCCAACTGGTAGTCCTTTTTTTTTGTTAGGTTGATGCAAACATTTATCTTTGCTATTGACAATTATAAGTGTTTTCCTAAAGGTAGCTGTGTTCATATTCACAAGATATTTCCCTTTTCTTCCTTATCAAAAGCGTCAAGCATGGAATAAGAGAAGATTTGGAAATTCAAACAAAGAATAAAAGCAGGATAACTTCTAACAAGGTTGGTTTTATAAGTTTTTTTTTTATATAAAAAAGTTCTTTTAACTATCTGATTGTCTGTAAAGCCTGCAGTGAACGCTTAAATTTGGATTTAACAGTTGCCATTTAAAACATTTGAGAGTCGAAAATAAAGAAAAACTACTAACAAAGAAATAACAGTACTGTGATGTCTGATTTCAGACAGTAATTTCCGATAATGTCTAATATCTGTAATGTCTGATTTTTAACAATACCATGTCTAATTTCTTGGATATTTTCTATCTGGAATAGTTTTCAATTTCAATAGTTTACAGCACTGTTCATCTGACGAATCAATACTGCTTTTCTTTTCCATGTGATGAAAAAACTTTGGTATCAAAGAAAAATCTATTTGATATCATGAAAATTATGACCATCGGTTCGTTGTATCATGTTACCATAGCAACAATATAGCCTATCGAGTTCTCCTTGAATTTAAGATCAGTTGACCATAGTGCAGAAGGAACATAGAAATCATATTTTACATTTTATTGGACGATATTCGTCTGTAAAAAGCGCAATTTTATAATGCAAAGCTTTTCAATCAGCTAGCCTCAAACGAAGAAGTTGTCCAATGTATCAGCTCGCGGGACTAAAATGAAATCCATTGTGTTCCTAGTATTTATGTCTCCATTACCCAAAATTCTCATAGATCTCTGACAAGCAAATCGATCTGCTTTTTTCATCGAGATCAGAACAAATTCATAATGCCCACTTGCTAAATTTCTGCGTTCTTCAGGTTAAAACGAACTAAGATATGCTCCAAAAATATCTATCCCTGCACGCTGATTTTAAAAAATTCTTCTCTATCACAAAATTGAGCTAAAAGCGAGAGCCTCGATTGCTTGCTATAGTTAAAATCCTGATCGAGGCTAAAACAAAACAAAGTATTCACCAAAAATTTTATTTCTACCAATTTTTTTTCACCAAAAATTTTATGTCTACCAATTTTTTTTTGTCGAAGACGCTGTTTCGATTTCTGATAGGTATAATGGTCTATTCAGTAAAAAAGAAACTGTTTATTTTCATTAAACAGTTTTTTAGCTCTATTACCGGATGTCTCAGCTTTTGAAGCAGAGGCTAAATGCAATATTCTCTAACTTAAGAATTTGTGTTAAATCGTTTTCATTAATTACTTTTCACATCTCGGGCAGGTTCAATAGTTCTTATCTATTTGTTTTCTTGTTGTAGAACAAAAGTAATTTCCTTCATTCGAGAATAATACTTGAGCCTAAGTGCCGCAGCTTTTGATAGTAAGAACAAAATAAAAATCATGCTGCCAAATAGTTTCCTTCTTTTGTTCAGAGTTCACCGTCAACTGAGAAAAAACTTCTCGTTTTTTCTTTATTCAACGAATATTTGTGAAGCCCAGTTGTTGAATGTTTACGCTTTTGAGGCTAAAACCAAACTAAAAGAAATATGCCCCCAAAGAGGAGATTTCTCACAAAGATTTCTCAAATTTTCGAAATTATTTATTTATTTATTATTTCTTATATAATAATAATTAAGGAACATAGTGGCTAGAAACTCTTCTGGCAAAAAATCAGAGCAAAATAAAATTCTTCAAAATGATTGATGATTCCTTTTTGGTGCGAAAATTGGTGAGTGAATTCAATTAAATTCAAAATACGTGTTATATTATTGCTTTCTTGTGTTACGCTAAAGTTTTTTTTACCAAGAAAATGTCTTGAAAAACCTTAGGGTATTCTAGAGAAATAGTTTGGATAGACGTTATGAACGATAAAGGTTAGATGTTGAATATGTTCGGATTTGAGAAACTGTAATCTAAATCAATTCAAATTTCGGGAAGGCGATACTGTTCCTCATTGCCTAACAAAGGCCTAACAACGATGAAGTCCAGTTTTAAATGAAAAAAATTCACAATAACTCAAAAATGTTCCAGAGTAACGAATTTATCAAAGAAATTGGTTACTTTACTTCATATTATATCGCCAGAAATTTGCTGATATTTTTTTAACAGACAGATGAACCGGAGTTGTTTTATAAAAAATAATTTTCTCAAGAATAGTTTACAGTTTTTCTTTTTCTTAATATAATGTCCCTCGCGATTCCATTTTTATTGGAATTCAAATATTTACTCGTTTTCGAGCGCGAAGATGTAAATGTGCGGTTTTTTTAACGAGCAAAAGCATACATGAACAAAGTAGGATTCAATTTTTAAAGTAGGATTCTTTGATGTGACCCTTTTGGACACTTTTTCGAAAAACAAAAAACTGAACTTGAGCAAAGTATTTAGTCTCCTTAAAGATTATTAAACTCGGCAGATGATAGGAAATGAAATCCAACCTTTCAGAAATTCAACTATTTTGGAGAAAATTATTTTAAATTATAATTATGTTGTCACTCAAAAAAAAGTGTCGATCACGGATTCTATTTTCATTGTAATTGAAATATTTACTGATTTTCACGCACGAGGATGAATATACTTATTTTTATTAAGCGAAAAGAAATTTGCAAAAAACGTTACTGGAATTGCCTGATGTTTCTTAGGGTTTTCAGCCGAAAATGAGAACAATACTGCAGCATTTAACGTGACCTTTTCAAAGATTAATGTTGACTCGACAAACTATGCGAAATGAATTCCAAGCCTTGAATGATTTTTAAATTACATTTTGTCTCAGGAATAGGCGGTAAAAAAACGCATCGCGCAGGGATTCCATTTCATTGTAATTCAAATATTCACGCAAGATTTTCAAGTGGATGTGTACGCATGTTTTTTTTTTTTTTTATTAGGCAAAGGGATCTGCACAAAAAGCTTTAAAAATCCTGAACTTGATATTTCTTAGGCCTTTCAGCCGAAAATATAAGGAGGACTGCATTATAAATTTGGTCTTTTCAAAGATTAATATAGACTCGACATACTATAGGAAATGCATTCCAAGGTTTTTAAAACTAATGTTTTCGTCATTTTCTTTCTGCAAGAACTGTGCGCAAAAAACAGTTTGATACTTTGACCTTTTTTAGACTTTTTCATCGACAATATGAACAAACGACCATAGTATTAGGTTTAAAAACAGGGAACGAAATCCAAACTTTCGAACCTCATAGATATAAGCTATTTTCTTGGAATTCTGTTATGGCATCAGAGGAATTGCAACGGCAACAACATCGAATTTCGCGAATTATTAGCAATTACATTTAGTTTACCGTTAAATCCAGGTTGCGTTCGCGT